ATTATGTAAATACAAGGTTGGAATCTGAGCCCGAGACCTTTGTGGTATGAGAGAACAATTTTTGTTCTACCCCAACAGTCGTGTTCCTGCCTACTTTGAAACCTTTGAAAAGGCTTAGTAAAGGTGACAGTGTCCCAAAGAAAAGGAACTTACAAAAAAAATCTAAAGGAAATAAGTCACGTCTACATCTTCTTTGTGCCAGCTGATGAAGGTAAAAATGTCCAAAGAAATCGTCTGAGGAGAAAAGAAAATGGCTTTCAATTATTTGAGCAGGCAGTCTGAGTCTCTTTCCTCAGAGGTGTACCAACTCTTTGATGTTGAGGCAGAGATGGGAGGATTGTGTTGATGACATTCATTCTAGAGACTACAAAACACACTGTTGATTGTACTTTTCTGAACTGAAGTGGTGTATAAGAGCTCTTCCCCACTGTGATAATAACTAGATATATCTTTGCAAGCGTGCATGTTCCTCTTGTGTTCCTGCTCGGAGAACACATTATGTAATATCCTTTGCTTTATGGTGTGTATCTTTAGAAATAGCATGAAACAGATGCTCCTAATTATGGCAGTAAAGATAAGAAACAGTGAAGTGATAAGGTCCTTCTGCTTTGGATAGGGGAAAAAAATGTCCCCGTTCAGATGGAAACTGAATGAGTCATTGATTGACAAAAAGATACTAAAGAAAAGTTTTCAAAGGAGTCCACTTTGAACAATTTTGTGAAAGCCAGAAATGTCGTCCAACTCAGAAAGTCTGATAGACTCGCTATTAAGTGTGATTTATGTTTTTTGCCTTGTCTGTGATTGTCAGTCATCCAGGTCAGAGCTTGTCTAAAAGCTAAAACAACTTCAACAGGGCTTGCTTTAGTTTCTTTAAGATGTTTTACCTCACATCCACAATACTTGCTCAGTTCTAACTGCCTGGTAGGGAGTCCCAGATGTTTAACCGCACATGTGAGGTGTTGAACGGTGTGAATAAGTTTAAGCTGTCTGGAGACAGAGTTCAAGATTACATCGAAGTCCCACTTCCTGTTTTCGGTACTTGGATAACACTTGAGTAAAAATCAATGCTGCTTTCCATTTTACCTCAGAAGTCCGAGGTCGGACCTGGGAATGACATCACACTCAAGTTGACAGTTTTCCAATACATTAAGGGCACCCCAAAGGAAAACGATTGATTTCAGGTTAATTATTATTGGTAATACCAGTCGATATTAAGGAATTATGCGCTATTTCGCACAAACATGGTGAGACTACAAAATTCAGGGGGCATTCCAGTTGATATTTCCAACTTGGAACTTCTAACAGCTCATATGAAACGTACACATAGACTCTGGATAAAAGATGGACGTAGCTTCAACGTCTAAAAAAGAGAAACCAATGCTAAAGTGTTTTAAACTTAAATTATGTCTCATGGCCAGCAGGGGGGTAACTCCTCCAATCACAAAAAGAACTCAGATTGTCTAGAAGTCTGAGAAAATTACTTCTCACTTCACTTGTTACCTCAGGAAACATTCTGGTAAAAAGTTTGTGGTCTCAATTGCTAGTAGACTTTTTGAATTACTGTCTACATCTAAAATTTACTCATTTCAAGTAAGATAAACGATGAAGTAGGGTATGCTTTTGGCCTATCTTGTAGTTGACAAATTGCTTGGAGATGTCCACGAGTTCTCAGTCAGATCCATCAGTCATTCGAAAGATCCTAAATCCGATTCCAAATTCAAGGCTTAAAAACTGCAGGCCACAAACCAGTGTGTGTCATCTGTACAGTACGTACATGATCTGTGAACACACCATAAAACACAGGAAGAGCAAGTCTAGAACAGATCAGTACAGTGGGCAGCAACATCAAGTTCACTCAGGAGGATGTCACAGAAAAGCAGTCTGGGCTTTTTGGACTGGGTGGCGCACAATGAAGTTGACAGACGCAACAGTTTTAAAGTATACAGAAAACTTACAAACAGATCAATATGTAGTATTTGAGTCTCAGAGGGGAAGAAGATGAAACAGCAACAGCTCACCAGAGAAGCACTTTAAATGTTCAGTTACTCAAACGGAAGCTTCTCAAAAAGAACAATCAGTGGAACAGCTTTGTTATTTCTTACTGATGTATCTGAAATTCTAAGGAGAATCTTCAACAAAGAAGCTAGTCCACCGTGATGTCAAAAAGCACAACTACATGGTACAATACAGAAGAGTGAGCTTCTCAGGTCAGCTGTCTGTCTACATCTGAAGGACAAGGGACACTCCTTCAATGACAACAATGTACAAATTTTGACCTACTGATGGTTTGAAGAGGGAGTAAAGAAGCCATCTACGTTAAACTGCAACTTAATGGAGGAGTTTTTCTTTGACACCATTAATCATCCATTTAACAATGCAGTCTCCTCACACACCCATTAACATATCGACTCATGTAACACGAGTAATTCACACTACGGCGGGGTGGGCCAACAACTCATACACAACCTAAATGACTCTTAAGGCGCTAACAGCCAACAAGAGGTTGCCTGTCTTGGACTTCACGGCAGTTAGTTTGAAGTGAAGAAGCTTTTCACAAAAGAGAGTCAGCTTCAGCGTCTCCTTGACACATTTCTGAACAAAGAGAAGCTGTGTTTACACCGAGGACTGAGAGGGAGTAAGCAGTCCTTCAGTTCATAACATCATCAACAACAACCCCAACATTACGCATGCTTTTTAGTGCCATTGATAAGCTGACCCATCCCTCCACGCTTATTGCAGTTCCTGTCACATCTTGGCTGACCTTTTAATTAGATTCATAGTATCACATCAGCCATAACAAGTGTAGTGTCATGCAAAAAATACATTCTCATTTGTGATCACATGGCAAGAACATAGTGACAATTATGCATTCGATGCTCAAGAATGCTTAACTCTGAAAGAAACAGTCCAGCATCTAAAAGCTTCCCTCCTGTCATCTTGACACTCTACCAACAAGTTCCTTGGAATAGTTTTCAGCTGCTTAAAAACAAATTTGCCCCAAGTTGTCAATATATAGCTTGCTGTTACGGAGTAATTTTCTTGAAATCTTGAAAGCAAAAGCAATCATCAAGCCTCTTCAGTGAAAATGGTGGTCTGGATACACTTGTGTTTCCCCACTACAGACTAATATCACCATTGTCAGCAAAGAATCCTGAGAAATTTCTGCCTGCAAACTTTTTAACCTCAAATGTTTGCTGTGGCAACTTTTCAGTCTGCAAACGATCTGTGACTTGGGAGAAGTTTTGTTTTCCAACAAGGCAGTCGCCACAGAAATGATGTAAAGAAAACAAGGCGAATGTGCTGGAGCTGCTGAGCTTGAACCAAGACCCTTAATCCAGTTGAGAACTTGTGGCTGGACTTGAAAAAGGGGCTGAAACCTGACAGAGCTTGAACAATTTTGCTGAAGAAGAACGAGGTGAAATTGCAGTGTCGGGGCTGATTGAGACCTGCTCACACAGGCTTGATGCTGTCACTGCAGCAAAAGGTGCATCTAATCAATACCGCCCTGATGAGGATGAGTATTTATGCAGTCGCTTGTTTAACATTTTTAATTTTTAATTTACTGATATTATATTGTAGAAGTCTGTTTTCATTTTGACATTAAAGAATCTTTTGGGGGGAAATTCTTAACTGATAACATTTCCAAGGTGGGTGAGTACTTTTTTCTACATTTTTTTCTTTGTTGCTGTCATGTGCACACTTACATTTTGGGGATTTATTGTCACTTTCATTTCAACATTAAACTCACCTCATGAGATGGGTGGCCACTATGCTTGGTGCAGTGAAAGTCTAATCTGGGTTTAATTTTAGTCATTTAAGTGTAATCATGATCTGCATTTACTAATTGATTGATTTAATTGTGGAAATCAATTTTGACCCTGCTTTCACGTCTCATAAACCCCCAAAGGGTTCTGACGTCCACTTTGGGAACCGCTGCATTAGAAAAATCAGCTATGCTAAATACAGTCCCATAAATTCTCTCTGAACAGGACTCAATGTGCCAGGATTTTCCTCAGCGAAACACAGACTGAGCAAACTGTCTTTGGCTCAGAAGAAGAACATTGACTGAAAATAAGTGCTTATCTCAAATTTCTGTCTCTCATAATGGATACGAAGTCTCGGTGTAATCTTGGACTTTATATTAAATGCAACAGTCATTTAAAATCAGACTGCGTTCCATCCCAAAAACATACCAAGCATTAGAGGATTCATGTCCAGGAAGGGCTTAGAGAAAAGAAAGTCCTGCTGTGTTTTCTCTGGTCTCCTGCAGATAACCACAGAGACAACACTGAGGAGCTCGTTGGGAATTCAGAGCAGGTATCTGCACAGCTTCCAGTCAGTCAGATAATAGAGTTTAAAGTACTGCTGCTTGTTTATAAAGCAATCTGTGGCTCAGGAAAAAAGCCACATCTCTCACTGTCTTTCGCTAACCATTGCAGTCTCGCAGGCAATCAGGCAGAGGGCCTCTAACGCCTCCCTGACTTAAATTCGGGTTAAACCTTTTTATGTTCTGCTCTGAACTGACTGATGCCTAATGAGGAGTGGAGAAAGAAGCACTGAGTTTTCGCTGGGCTCAGTCACAAAGCGTTTCAAATGAAATGCGAGTCTCCACCTTTTTTTTCTTCGAAAGCAATAAAAAGGAGCCATAAATTAAACCTGCGCAGCAAGAAATGAATGTGAAACCACACAGTGAATCTACGGTGATTTCTCATGATTACATCACAGGTCACTCTAGTTTACTAACTTAGACTAATTAATCCATTGGTGAGACTTTTGCACCAATTGGCTCTCCCAGTTGCCTGCTAAACACTGGATTGGACGGTGATCAGCTGGGTTGGAGGATTGCTGTGATATGGCTTTTCAACTTTGTCCCTTGATACAGACTCAGGCATTTCTCCCACACGCTGAAGCCACGCAGAAACTTTTTTTGATCCGGCTGTGTTTTTGTTCCTGTTGGATGGTTTCACTGAAATTTCATCAGCTGCTTTAATGCCAGAATTATGACGCTGACAACAGACAAGGTGAGATCAATGGCTGCAACTTTTGCTTTTTTATTTTTTGTTTAAGCGAATAATTCAGAATGAGTGTGCTCAGAGAAAACAAACTATTAAAAGTAGGTAAAAGTGGATGCGATTGATTGAATTTCATTGATTTTGTCGAGGGCAAACAAAGTGTGAGACTGAGCAACACAACAGAAGGTATTAGGCTTTCAAAAACAAGCGGAGCAAGCTGGAAAAACAAGCCCTCCTCTAAGAAACCGAGGAACATCTCATTCTTAAAACCAATCGCTCTTTGTTTCAGGTGCATGCTGGGATGGACATCATTGACCTTCTTCTCAGGAACACAGATGAATCCACCAGTTGCCACAGCAACCCTCCATGGTCTATCACAATCGATGACGTACGTACGCCGGTCAGTCTGCACACTTTGCTCTTAAAGTGAGTCACTGGTGGAACAATGTATTGAAACTGCAAATTGATTGACTCTCATTATGAAAATCTTAATGCTGAGTGTGGGCTGCAAGGTGGGTCGGTGGTTAGCACCATTGCCTCACAGCAATAAGGTCGCCGGTTCGCGTCCCGGTGAGGACACCGGGATCTTTCTGCGTGGAGTTGGCATGTTCTCCCCGTGCACTGTGGGTTCTCTCCGGGTTCTCCGGCTTCCTCCCACACAGTCCAAAAACATGTTGAGGTTAATTGGTGATTCTAAATTGTCCGTAGGTGTGAATGTGAGTGTGCTTGGTTGTCTGTCTCTAAGTGTAGCCCTGTGATAGACTGGTGACCTGTCCAGGGTGTCCCCTGCCTTCACCCTGAGTCAGCTGGGATAGACTCCAGCCCCCCACGACTCTAGTGAGGATAAAGTGGTGTATAGATAATGGATGGATGATGGATGGATGGATGCTGAGCGTGAGGTGTATTCTGAGGTGGGGTCATACATGAGAAGAGGCCAAGAGTTGCAAGGAAATGAGCTCAAGGAACTGAACACTGGTGTTCTTATGCTGTTGTCTGTGTGCTCTTATATGACAATCTCATTAAGTCTGTCAGTTCAGCAGTGATGATGTTTACGTCCTTCCCTTCAGACCCTGAGCCCTGAGAAAAATGGTGCTGAGGAGTTCTTGGACGCCCTGCTGCATGGGAGTGACTCCTCCTCCGTGCCGGCCTCCCCCCTGTGGTCACCTTGCACCACTGACAGCGGGATCAATGAGGACCCCCTGACAGATCCCACAGACAGCCCTCACCCAACCTCCTGCACGGCTTTTCCAGCCTTTGACATACAGACTTTCCCTCAGCCTCCGTCCCTGGAGAAACGGCCACCAGCAAATGAAAAATCGTCTGATGTTTCCATTGATCTCGGTGAGACTACATTTAAATTGGAAAGGGGTGAAACACTTGCATTTCAAACTTCCGACGAGCGTCTGAGAGGCCTGCAGCAACCGAGTGAGATTGTTTCAATGGTGCGCACAAATATGAGGTTAAGAAATGAGAGAGAAAAGGCAAACCAGGGCACCGACAGTCAGGTAGAAACTAAAAGGCCTTGACATTGTCAGATTTAGCAATTGTGCCTTCTGTTGTGGAATAATGAGGCCTCTGATGGTGGATCCTTTCACAGAGCAAATGATTTGTTTCCCCCCCCCCATTTCTGAACATTTGTAGGGGTAATAGGTTGTGCTGTTGCTACTCTTCACGTGATGAAATTGCCTTTTTCCTTTTAATAATTTTCCTCAGTGCTGATTCTTGACCCCTGTGTGTCAAAAAATACTTTGAAATTGACTGAATAAACCAGCTCTGAAACAACACAAAGACGTCAAGCAGAGAAAAAGGTTTACATTTAGTACTGTGAAAACGTTTTAGGCATTATAAGTAAAGGGAGGATGCTGTGATAAACAATTTCCTGAATCAAATTATTATGCAGTGTGACCAGAGAGTGCCTGAAGGACAGCCCCAGCTCTGACAGGCGCACTTGTGCACAGAACTGCTGCAGTTTCCTGTGAATTTTGTCCATGTTGGTTGCTTCACTCTCTTCTCGTATTCCCACACTGACTCCATAATGTTGAGAAATGGGCTCTATGGGGAACGCTCATCTGTTTCTCGGTCTCCTTGTTCTTCTTGTCACAGAAAATAGTTCTGTGGGGACTTATCTGATGCCTCCCTGATGATTCTGTGTGATGGATGAGAATGGAAACATCTAAAAAAAAAAAAACAACTACAAAAAAACCCTACTTAGCACAGTGCTGCATGTTTGTAGCATGTTCTGTAAAGCACAGAAGGTTGCAGCGGTGTCAGAGGTATTGTTGCAGATCTTGTTTGAACTGCAAATAGAGGCAGTTTTTGTGAATTATGACCTGCTGGTTTTCTGTTTTTTTTATGATTCAACATGCAGGATGGGAGCATGATGACCTCAATGAGAAGTTCGGTATTGAATACTACCTCACTGCAAACCAAAACCCCCTGCTACCATCCAGTCATATGCTCACAGTGAAGGACCTGTTGTTATCCAACGTGGGACAGAATGTAAGAAGAGTTTCTGTGAGACATTATAGTTTTGTTTGGCTATCTTACCAACAGGAGTTTAAAATAATAGTGTTAAGAATAAATAAATGTGAACTAACTGTAAAGTCATCTCTGGTGACCTGTTCTACTTTGAGAGAAAGAGAGCACAATTTGCATTAAATACATAGAATTTTATGAGGTATTGGTCCACTCGAGTGCCTTCTTCAGGTGAACCGAAGAGTGGGTCACTTTAACCGGAGTATTCTGTCCGTGTGCTTCACAGGCTTCACAACGAATCCCTCAGCATCCCCTGCGGGAGCTTGTACTTAATGAGGATGAAAAGAAGCTTCTGGCTAAAGAAGGCATAAACCTGCCCAGCAGACTGCCGCTGTCAAAGGTACACGAACCAGACACACATATGTATGCATGTAGGGCACATGTCTTGACACACACATGCACCTGCCACATCCACAAATCTAAATCTGTATCCCCAGTTGCACAACCTCTGCCAGTGTTGCCCGTCTCGTCTCTCCTATCCCAAGTTTCATCTCACTTACCCTGTTTCTTCCTCATTCTTTCTTGTCCCTATCCTCGCTCCTGTTTCATCTCCCTGACAAGTCTGAGGAGAGGGTTTTGAAGAAGATCCGGCGGAAAATCCGTAACAAGCGCTCGGCTCAGGAAAGTCGAAAGAAGAAGAGGGAATACGTTGATAGTCTGGAAGGAAGGTAGGAACCAGCTGCACTCAGCGTTTTCACTCACTGTCACATTATCTCAGTATGTTTTGGCCCACCAAGTTTTATCTGCAGTGAATTGTTTTTGCTCTGAAATACTTTCAGTGAGCCTATTTTGTTATGATTCACTTCAACAAACTGTTGCAAAGACGAAACAGGAACGTTCTTTAAAAAGAAAGTTATTTTCCATTATTCTGTTTTGAATCATTTTTAATGACGCAGAGTTCATGAGAGCTTTTGCATTTGCTGAAATCTGGTATTTATCGAGTAGTTTCCTGAAATAGCTCTTCACAGGAGACTCACGGAACAAAAGAGTACTTTCAGTGAAAAAACTAAACAAAAAGCTGGGAGGTGACTTTTGGGAAGAGAAATAAAGGAAATAATTATAAGAAAAAAATGACGTGGGAGGGAATTCAGTGCCAAAACACCACAGTTACTACTAACGTTGTTGAGATGATCCTTGCAGATTGTTACTTTATTCAATCACTAACGTTATTCAGTGTCTGGATAAACAGAAAATTAACATTCTGACAGCTCAGCAAGAGAAGTGTGAAAAATGTTGATCATAATTGACCCCTACATAGTACTAAACCTAGTTTAAACTGTATTTTTTATTTTCTATAGAATTAAAGTAATGTGTATATGACACAAAACCAATCAGGGCATAAGTATCAACCAAAACCTCCAGAGGGAGAACACACATAGAGGTTACAGTTTAGAGTAAGTGTTCTAGAGTTTCCATCATGTAGACATATGCTATATAAGAAAAAAAAGAGTCTTACCATACCCTCCTTAGACCTTATGTTCTATTTTGGGAGCATTACATTTTGAATTTGAGCCTGCTTTACTTAGATCCGTTGCCAAATAGACAAATTAATAAAAGACAGGATCTCTGCAGAGATATTCTACAACCATGACAAGATACAAAACCACGCCAGATTTTATGGTTGATGCTATTTTTTTAAGGCTTAATAACATTTGACATGGCTTTGAAATATGACAAAAGCAACCAGTTATTCACAAGGTCTACCCCAAATGAGGACATCTTTTTTTAAAACTACTTTAATGACAAAGACCTACTAATCCCAACATTAAAAATGCATACAAATTAAAAGCTGAGATCTCAGGAAAGTGAATGAACTACATTCTTCCCAGCACAACCTCTCATACAGCTTTTTTTTTGTGTCTGATCTGGGGTCAGTTGGACAGAAAACAGATTATATTGTGGCCCAACAGAGCAGCTAAACCAGTCTGTGTTGCAGCTGGATGAAGGATCAGGCAGAATCCAAAGATGACGCAGCGTGTCACAGCAGCGGGCCAGGAGGTTGTGCTAAGATCATTTCAGTGTTCCTCCTTCTAATCTAAGTCCAGGCTATGCAGATCGAGCCTTACTGCACAGCCAGAACATCCTTTGTCACCAAATTTCTTTATCCTGCCAGCCTCCCACATGGTGGCTTTTCCAGGCCATCAGACCTCCGCAAACAATGCGGCCTGGCAGAGCATGTAGTTTAATTCATATCGAACCTTCTCAAAAAGGGCAGTGCGGCAAGGATTTATTGTTCCTCAGCCTCCCTGGAGGTATTCGTAGGGTTTTTAGATCCGAGGCTAACCTTCAGATGGTTCCCCTCGCACCGCTGGACTCCTAGAAAAACCTGTCATTTTTGATTCAACTCAGAATAAAGGGGTCATCTGGGAATGAATTGCGGACCACAGGTGTAGCAAGTAGAATAAAGTGAATAGAGAGCTTTGGGTTTTAAAAGGTCTCATAGGGTGAACATTCATTTTTTATTGTGTTTTGTGGTTGTTATGAACTTGGACGTGTGTAATAGCTGTTAAGATATGAAGACATTTACTTCTGCCAAGCCAACCAATATTCGTGTTGCTTAAACTTTGTATAATCCTGTTCCCCTCACTGCTTCCAGGTGAACCATTCAGAATATGCGGCTGCTTCACAGTCTGCCAGGTTTATTTACAGTCTATAGCTGCTTCTGGAGCTGTAAATATACTCACACTTTAATTTTCTGCATGGAGTCCAGCTTGATTTAAAAAAAAAAAATCCCAGTGTTGCAACACATCTGTGGTTATTTCATGCATTATGCAGCACAGACCAAAACCAGGAGGTCATGGGGTCATGGAAAATGAACCATCTTTGCAATATTTTGAGCTAAAAAACTAAATTGTTGAAAATGGGAACAATATGAGACCTTTAAACATCAATGTACAAACATTGGAGTGAAATCTGTTCCCACCTTTTGTAAAAAAAATTGATCAAAAATTAATTGTGTTTGCAGCTCCGCCTAAAAAAACAAACAAACAAACCTTTGTGTGCATACCTACACTTTAACATATATCCTTAATGGCGTAATAGGAGCTTTAAAAGCCTAATAGCTTGCTATCAGTGTCTCATTCAAGCCTGAGCGCTGTTGCCTCAGAATAACAAAAGTTTTGAGATGGGCTGAGATTGTCAATTTCATTGAACTGTGTCAGCAGTTGTTGGTAATTAAAGCAGCTGCAAGCGGAGCGTATCAACCCAGTATCATTATCAGTCAAGGGCCATAATGGAGGGTGACTCATGGTGACTAAAAGAAATAAGAAAGACTGCAGAAGAAGAGGGTGGTGGTGGTGGGCGCTGACGGATGGTGTCCCTGGATGGCAGAATGGGACGCAAGATAGCAGTCAGCAGACGGATATTGGCAGAGACAGAAACGGAGCAGAGGCAATGTAACATTGTCACACAGTGTTGTTTGATAGCCTTATTTCCTTGTTTTATCTACATTTCCTTCTCCTTGTTGTCTATCTCTTTCTGTAGGATGTCTGCATGCAGTGCTCACAACCTCGAACTGCAGAGAAAGATCCAGCAGTTGGAGGAAACCAACAAGTGAGTCCTCAAATGAGCCAACATGGGCTGCAATGTTTGATTATTGCCATCAGCTGATGATCTATTCAGAGATTTAAAAAAAAGAGAGAAAACCAAGGAAACCTCCTGAGACCAAGGCACTCCTCAGATTAAAATGTCTTTGCTGTATTTCGTATAATGTCCTTGTCCACAAGTCTGTGTATGCATTGGCATCCTCTTATAGTCTATCTGCGAGATGCCAATATGATAAAGACATTTTTAACCTCCAGAGTAACTTGTTTTGGACAGATCTTCTCTCTCTCTTTTTCTCTGCTGATTCTATATTTTCAAAACCAGAGAGCACTTAATCCAAACAGCATTTAGATCTGTTTAGCACTACAAAATGTTTCATTTTTTTAAATGACAGGAATTAGCACAACATGTTCAATACAAGTTCTCAAACCCCAAGGCGACATATTCAAGCAGCTTCTGTTGTCTGACCAACAGTCGAGAACAGAAAGTGATTAAATTCATAAAAACTGAGAAAATCAGTAAATGGCTGAATCTGACAGTCTGGAATCACTGAATGTAGTCTGTTTTTTTCATAAAAAGCTTCTTATTTCCATTCAACAAGTGTCTGAAATGATAAAATACAGATGTCACAGTTTATTAGCAGCAGCTAATTAGTTAACGTTGGCTCCATGTTTGGTTCAAGGACCAATATGTAGGATATTGGGGCGACTCCTCTGTTTGCAAAAGAAGCCGGATATAGAAGTAGATGAGAAAATGACTTTATTTCTTCTTTAATTTAATACCTTAGTAAATATTTTCCTAATGAAGTTGTGGTCTCATCAACTGTGTGTATATATATATATATATATATATACACACACAAATTCCAAACTCAGTGTTAAAAACAGCAGTAAAAATTTAATTAAGTACATTTAATTAAAAATAAAAAACAGGAGCTAAAGCTTCCTTTGATGATTTGCGTAGAAGTAACTGAAATTAAAAACATACATACACGTTGCATCTTGTATTGAAGTGTGGCGTCAGGCTTAAGCTTAACTGTTCTAAACACTTATTTGTATTTTCAAAGTGAATGATTTCACTTTCTAAATCAAAAGGAACTAGCTCTGAGTTGTTTTGCAGAAGTAGCAGATTCAATTGGACTCCTGCGCGCTGTCTGACTTGCAAAAATACAAAAATACATTGATTTGCAACATCTTGCTGGTAGAGCCTTTATCAGCTAAATGCTTGGGAGATTGTTTTCCGCATGTCCTCGTTTGTACTGAACATTAATCTATTGGGGTTCCTTGTGCAGCTCCAGGCGGTCTGGCATACATATGAATGTATACACACACTACTTGGTTCATTTGCCAGTGTGCGTGGTAGATTTACATATGTATTGTTTATTGCTGTATTGATTTTGTTGGCTTACATGCTGAATGTATAATGTACTGGGAAGGGTCCTAAATATATTTTTTTATTACAGAGAACTTTAGCAATTTAAAGTTTTGTTTTCTTTGTTATGTGAAAGTGATGGGCTGTAGGGTGGATCGGTGGTTTTTATTTTTTTATTTAACCTTAATTTAAGCAGGAAACATCCACTGAGATTAAAACCCTCTTTTACAAGGGTGTCCTGGCCAAGAGGCAGCAAAAGTTACGAAGGGCTAGGTTAGCATCGTTGCCTCGCAGCAAGAAGGTTGCTAGTTCGCGTCCCGGTGAGGACACCCGGGATCCTTCTGCGTGGAGTTGGCATGTTCTCCCCGTGCAGCGTGGGTTCTCTCCGGGTTCTCCGGCTTCCTCCCACAAAACATATTGAGGTTAATTGGTGATTCTAAATTGTCTGTAGGTGTGAATGTGAGTGTGCTTGGTTGTCTGTCTCTAAGTGTAGCCCTGTGATAGACTGGTGACCTGTCCAGGGTGTCCCCTGCCTTCACCCTGAGTCAGCTGGGATAGACTCCAGCCCCCCACGACCCTAGTGAGGATTAAGCAGTGTATAGATAATGGATGGATGTTAAAGTGTTGTCCTTATTTGTGTATTTGAGTAATTTCTTTATTACAATATGTTTTTTTGGTAACTCTCCATCAATCAGTTAAAGATGAAGAAAGCTCTTGGATGAATGCTAAACATCTTTAAGAACCAAAAAGAAAAGTCCATTTCCCTTCTGCTGAATCCCCGTGCTCTGATGACTGAGAATCTACTCAGACACTGCCACACATTCAGATCAGCATTAGGCCTGCCGATTTTAAAATTTCTGTTTACTGGTATGTTTGTGCTCTGTGTTTTGAGATGCGGGCCTCATCTCAGATACATGAAATATATCCAACCAAATCCCTGCTCCAATCCAAGTTGTGCCGTGAATATCTTAATGTCCCATTTTTTTCAGCCTTAGATGCGTGGCTGAATTGTTTGTTTGAGCCTCCTTTGTCTCTTTGTTGTGAATCGGATTATGCCACGGTGATACAGTGTTTTGTTGATCTGCATTGATGTGTTCTAAGCTCCTCTGTCGCAAGATGCTGGAAACCTGGTTATGAAAACTTTCTAGCTGTGTAAAATCAGAAAAGAGGAGCATCAGTGCAAAACCACCAGAATACAAAGCGCTCGCAATTTTGCTTTTTTTCTTCCTTCGCCCTGTTTCCTCGTCATTCTGTCGTCTCATTATGTTGCTTTCTGTCTCGCGCTGGTGGAGTGCTGTGGTGAATAAAACAAAATGTGGCAAAAAAGACACATGCACACGTTTTTCCTGTCCTGTGTACTCTTCTCCTTCTTTTTCTGTTTGTTTGATTTAGTGTGCAGAGATCACAGATGCTGGAAAAAATTATGTCTATATTACATCTGCAGCCCCTTATGCAAAGCTTAAACAATCCCTTTCATCTTGGTGCCTGTATTTGTATTGCAGTGCTCTGCTGGAGCAGCTAAACCGGCTACAGACTCTCCCTCCTAATAGCTCCAGCAAAACAACACACAAAGGAACCTGCATCCTGGTGAGCTGCACAGTGCACTATGACATTAATTTGCACCACTGAGAATTAGATAAGACAGACAGCACAACTTCTACCAAATAAATAATAAATGCACATAGAGGAGATGTACACCATAATAGAAACTACAGTGGCCAAGCTCATCATTAAAAGCCTCAGCCCGAGTTCCTGCTATTATGACAGCTGCTGTGTTTAATGACGAGGTGTGAATGGAGTCAAATGTTTGAATAGCACCTGGCCACACTTATCTTTGTACACAATGTTATGTAGGATGTGCCTAATGACTTCCTTTCTTCTCCTCCCTCTGCTCTCTGTTATTACCCTCTGATCTGTGCTTTCTGTGCTTGGCCTCTTTTTTATCCTTCTGTCGACATTTATTTCCAGGTTTTGCTGCTCTCCTTCTCTCTGCTCATTTCCTCAAATCTGCAGCCAGACCCTTACAGCCAACTCAGCCAGGCGGAGTATGCAGAGACCAAAGGTTTGTGGACACACACGCTCAAACACACTTTCTTTTTCTCTTTCGGACACACACACACATACTCACTCTCCACCACGTCTCTGCTTTTTCAGTGTCGTCCCGTTCCCTGAAGTCCGTGGATGAAGTGCCTCCTCCTCCTCCGCCTCCTCTTCCTCTCCTCTACGTCTCCAGGAGCTTTGAAGCCCTGCGCAACCTGACAGAGAAGCTCTGGCCCTGGACAGATCTCCCCACAGTAGACCTCCCCTCCTCTCAGCACCAGCATCACAGGCACAAAGACGATCACTGATCTCCCCCAGGATGAAAGATGCAGCGAAGGAGTGCGGGCTCGCCTGCAAGTGCAGCATCCAAATGAGCAGTTTAATTGCTTTTTTCGCCGTCTGTTTCTCACTGCAGAGACTGGATGAGAGAGGTGTTATGGTGGCACACAAACACACTAACATCTAGTTAAAAGAGAAAATCTGTCTCTGACGCAGGGGTCACTGAGGAGGTCACGCCAACACATGTAATTTTTCATTTTCCATTGAAAAAACACCCCCCAAAAGAGCCTCGGGGACCTGGCGGATCATGTATAGCTTATATTGTCCATGTATTATTTAGACATGTGTGATCTATAAAACAACACAAATGTATATTCACTGCTGTATTTTATTATTTACTTCAAATCTATATCTTTATATCTTAAAAAATGGTGACGATGATTTGAGGTGCATTTTGTAACAGATCAGTGCAATACTGACAAATAAAGAAAAAAAAAGAGAGATAAAGGCTTCTCCAGTGAAATCTGGGACCACCTGTAAGTTTTGTTTCTTCTTTCAATAACACCATATGCTCAGCGCGGAACTCATTTGTATTCCAAAAATAATTAGGCAATATTTGAAAAATAAATTTTGGCGTCCGAAAAATACATTACTTTATCAGCAAAAGTTGCTCAAAGACTTCTCAGTTTTAAAAAAAAACTTTCATACCAGCTGCCAATACGGTCTCAGTTTTGAAAAATAGCAGTTTTAGAGCTAAAATTACTGTTTATTGTAATTGTGAAAATGTAATTAAATGCTGGTCATAGATCGATGTGAAGTACTTTCCTCTGGCGGGGTGCCATGCTGCTATTTAAATATACGTGAGAGATAATGACTGAAAGTGTTCTGTTTCTGAGAGTTAATGCATGAAAACAGCAACACTTCACTTGTTATTCTTGTCTCTGGTTTGCTGGTCCCTCGCCATTACACATCACAATTCAGACAGCTTATCTGTTGTGCAGGTTCGTCTTCACAAGATCTCCGCTGTAAATCTCGGACAAAATTTGCATTTCAAAAAACAACGGGAATATTCGGCCTCCGTCCACATTAACCAGTACACATACATGCAGCGTGTTATATTTTATTTGCGAGGATGAGGCAAAGAATGAGGTCACATGATTTATTTTTGAAACCTCTGCTCACTGCAGTAAGGTGAGCTTCAGCGCAGAGCAGCCCCGCGAGATGCTTTTCACATACTGTATGTGTTGACATGTTACTGGAGCAGGGCAAAGTCTGCTGAAAAGGCTGCAGCTGATGCTGAGGGCAACGAAAACTATTGATGATATTTTTAGAAATCTGGAAGGTTTACAGTAAAATGGAGAAGGGTTCACATTGTGCAATCACATACACTGCACCCCGGTTGGGATTCAAAAGAGCTGTTGGTGAGACAGAATGTGGAAAGCAAAGAGTGGTGCTGGTTCCTCTGCAAGGCTTTGACCTAAATGTCTGCATGGTGACACCTACTCACCACGGTCACCATCTTAGCTGCTTTGTAGTTTAGTGTGCATGCTAATATTTGCTAAATAGCATTTAAAGCAAAGTATAGCAACACTAGAATGGTTCTGGAGTTTGCATGCTCAGGCTTCCTCTTTTGCTCCCTCCTTCATAAAAACATGCATGATAGGTTAATCTGTGATATTAGAATGGGCCATAGGTGAGTATGAGCATCGGTCTGTCTCTTAGCTCTGTGATAAACTGGTCACCCAAGTTCATCTACCTGCCGACCAAAGCAGGTAGAGGTGACGGGTGACTAAAGCATATGCAAAGCAAATGAATAGTTTTACAGATAGTACTGATCTGATGACAGCACTTGATGGAAATGTGTCATCAGAGTTATTACAAATCATCTTAAAGGGTCACTATAAGTCCCAAATGTATTGGCAAGTCATCAAAGTGTGGTTGAGAGAATACACTAAAAACTGCAAATGTCAACCTCATGATTGTCCAAGAGAAGAAGTAAGAGTGAGAGTTTTAGCAGGATGCTGTAGGAGCCAAATGAACAGAATATAATGGCACTCCTTTAGTATTTTGTGACTTTTGGACTGACTCACACATAATTTGCCATCCTCAGAGCCATATACCATGAAAACAGTTTAAGTAAGGTGAATATGTACACTGATCAGCCACACTTTTAAAACCATGGACAGGTGAAGTGGATAACACGGATCACCTTGGTAGAACACAATGTCCTACTAGGAAACCTTTAGTCCTGTCATTCAAGTTCACGTTTCATTGACACACCACCACCGGTCTAAATGTTGTGCCAGACTGAGCACCCACTCCAGTGCCGGTGGCCTCCCCCAGTAGGGCAGTGCCCCCCGCCACACAGCAAAAAACTGCAGCTCGAGGAACACGACAAAGAGATCAGTGTCTTGGGGCGTTGACCCAACTTCCAAGCTCCTAAGATTCTAAACAGATGGAGAATCTGTGGGATGCGCTGAAATAAGCCTGATCCACAGAGGGCCCACTGTGCAACCCGCAGGACCTGAAAGATCTGATGCCAACATTCAGGTGCCAAACACCACAGGACAGCTCCAGAGGTCCTGTGTCCACGGCTCTACGAGTCAGAGCTGTTTTAGAGGCAGTAATAGGCAGCTCCTTTAAAGCTGCTGCTGATCAGTGTGTAAATATGAAATTCTTAAATAAGATGTGCCTTCAGGTATAAGGTTGTGCTGGTTACTCCACAAGGCTCTGTAAGGTGTAACTTATATCACAATACGTCAGGAAAAAAAACACAATGAGATTTCCTCTGAATCGCTCAGGCCTACTGTTGACTTGTACAGCAATTCAAAATTACAGTCATTTTAAACTTTTTACGTTACATAAAAATCAGACGCTGACAGACACGACGCGAATCAGGAGGATCCCCGTGAAACCACGAGTGGCGAAAGAAAAGCCGAAGCAGCCCACCGCAGTTCGCAGATCCCCGAGAGGTACAGCGAAGACCAAAACTAAGGAGAAAGCAGCCACAAACCAGCTGCAAAATCACAAAGAAGAAAACCCCTGAAGTCTGCTCGGAAGAAACGCAGACCTGCAACGAACACAACAAGACGAAGGCGGCAAAGAAGACCGGAAGGACACAAGACGCAAAAACAGGTCCGATGATGGAGAAGACAACCAGCAAGACGGAGGATTACAGTTAGTTAGTTAGTAAATTGGCAGTTCTGAATCCATTTATGAAAACATTCAAACTGTTCACTTCATAACCCTTTGCACATACTTTTATTAGATTTTTCCGAAACAGAACAAAGACAGATATAACACCTGAAATGTGTCCAAATCTGTTCTGTGTTCTATCAGAGGTGGGGTAGCAAATAGGTAGTGATTTGAAATTGTCATGATTACCACTTTAATCATTAAATGACATAAATGACTGCATTTTTTGACGCAAACCGCAACATTTTCCATCAAGTTGTTCTACCATGTCAAGTGTGGCACATTCGGATGAGTCTTGAAAGAGACCATCGGACAAGTGGATGGATCTTGAAAACTGAACAACCTCAAATCTTCAAAGTTGAAATGTTTCATCCTTTTTTTTCCGTTGCCATGTCAGACATTAAACGACTGGTTGGATTGCCATGATGTGTTGCCATTATAGTGCTCAGTGGATAAATCCCAGTTCAGGTTCAGCTCTGAAGATCAAAATGAAATGTTTTCACAATTATTTGAGAAATGCAAGAAAATATGTTAAGATCCTTTTAAAATTTAATCCAGTGGCACCGTCATTTATGATCAAATACCCGTAAAGCTGATGCCATTCCCATCACCCTTGGCCTACTTTGTTCACTTCATATGCAAACATATCACATTAGCATGTTAGCATTGTGAGCACGGCACCATTAGCATTTATTTCAAAGCGTGTCTGTAGACATCAGAGAGTCGCCATCATACCTACAGACTGTTGCTTGAATATTCTATTACAGAGTTTGGTAGGTGATAAATGGTTTTATGGGTGGAGCTTTGAGGGGGGGATTTCAGACATACGATCTTAGAATTTTTAAAAGCGTGATCGTTTCACATTTAGTAATGTTCGCAGCGTACTGTTGTTCAAGCTCGTGGACAAAACTATAACATTTGGGGAGGGAAGAATGATTCAAGCAAACCAAAAATTACAAGCAGGACCATCCATACTGGCTGGGAGACAGAAATGAATTATTGATCAGACGGCTTTAAGCAGTGTGTTGAGGTGTGCAGTGATAAAGAGTTATGGGCAGGAATTCAGAATATTAATCACGTCGGAGCTGTGCAGAGGTGCCGCTACCTGAGGGTGGAGGGAGGTCACAGGAGGAAAAGATTGCTCATTTAGATGATTTTTTGCAAGGTTAGTTTGCCCTTTTGGGGTTTCACGAACACATGAACATGAGTATTTACAGAATATGTGATTGCAGCACATTCAGTCCTGCAATCACACTTCGGGCATGTGCTGCCTCTGTGATGATGAAGATTAAAACACATAACCCTGTTTTTGCTTCATTATTAAACATTTGGAGGATTGTTGTTTTAAAAAATGAAATAGCCGCTGTGAGATAAAGATTTTTCTCTTCACAGCTGCACCTGTGTGTAACCTTGGGTGGCTGTGTTCGGCGATTTAACGTTATAATTCATGTGTTAATGTTATACCGACTAAATTTTAAGAATATTGAAGACAATCTTTCCCCCATGTTTTGAACCGAATATCATTAAACAGTTTATTAGAATAAGTTTGACCCCAAGTGTCCCCACTTTGACACGAGGATGCAGCTTGAGGTATTAATTGGATCTCAGTCTTTCGGTTCTATTGCATGCACTGCGGCAATGCTGAAGAAGCCATTCAGAATGTGAACTGAAAATATTAATATGTGCTCTCTCCCCCCCCCTCCCTCTCTCTCTATTCTAAAGAACAGCAAAGAAGGAGAGCATTAAATGTCCTTGGTCAGTCAAGAATCTGTATCTGAATAGCAGTCTTTAAGGCAAATGGTGAAGTGTGTCTCATTTTGTATAACCACATGACATACAATCCCAGAGCTATTATCATAAGGGTGTAGCTCACAGTAGACCTGTGGAGGATCTCCCTCATCCATCATCATCTCAAGCACAATGATCTTCCCCTCTCATATACAAATTCATTCAGACATAATTTGTGAACAGTATTTTGACCTTGGCCGACAAAAATTGCTCAGTGTTGGACACACACAAAGAAAAGTTAATTTCCTGTTTATTTTCATTTATTCAGACCGCATACAAATAAATATTAAATAAATGCAACCTACTTAATGTCCCCTATAGGCTTCATAAGCAGTGGTTTTAGACAGACTGTCCTGTGACTGTACCCACTTGTCACCTAGAGAAGCCACATCTTTAACTATGCATAACTTTAACGGTTAATACAACTTAAACAGATGAGTTGTATAAAAATATACCTTCCAGAGGCGTCGCTATAGCTCACCTGGTTGAGCTGGCGTCCCATGTGCAGGGCTACAGTCCCAATGTGGAGGTCATGAGTTCGATTCCCATTCATGACCCTTTCCCACATATCCTTTCCCACATGTCCTCCCCCCATTCTTCTCCCCTACTTTCCTGTCTCTCTCTGACTAAAACTATCCAATAAAGGCCAAAAAAATAATAACTTTAAAAATATACCTTCCTATAGTTGTCACAAACAGGGAAGTCAGTTATAGAGACCAACACCTTTCTTTGTACCAGGTTGTAAACAAATGTATTTCTGCTGTAAATTTGGTTATTATAACATGAGAGGCAATGGGGAACGACTCGCTTTTAGAGTCAGCCTCCAGTGGCCATTCAAGGAGTTACGAAACCAAATGAGAATGAGCGTCCCTGACTGTGTTTACACAAGAGTTAATGGAAGATGCTGATGTAACTGTGTCTACTTGTGTACGACTTCAGGACTTCAACAGGACAACAGAAATGAGTTTCGTCACCTCTGTGCCACTCTGCTGCAATGACAGGAGAGATAAGGAGGGTCTGAGCAGAAGCCCCAGAGGGCTGCATTGTCTTCAAAGATGCTGTTTCGATTACCAGCCAAGCAATAATTTACATTCAAAAAAGCTTGCTCAATTTTTTGCCAGAAAGTTGTTTTGCTTGCTTGAGGTGGTTTTTGCCTATTTTTGAAAATGAATGAATGTGGATAGTGAGAGATGGAAACACCTTGAATAGGTTCTGATGCAGTAAACATTTAATTTGCATGACTGATCAGCTGTTTCCTCATCTTCAACATCTCCAGACAACACGAAACGTGACCGACACCAGCTCACACAAAAGAATAACATATATTTTCTCCTATCGATGGTCAAAAGTTTGTTTCTTTCTACTTCATCAATGTTTTATTGCAGTCTGGTTTTGTTTCCGCCATCCTCAACCATGCGTAATGTTGTGTGCACCACCACCAACATTACACAGCCTAGTTTATTATTATTATTAGAAAGCAGTTGATGGAAACCAACCTTCATTCACATTTTCTTTTTAGTAAAGTTTTGCAACATTTTAAAAGTTTGCTCCAGATACACTTGAGAATTACATAGAAACATAGCGAGTATCTCCCTGCCCCGCTGTTCTTTTTAAATGCCTTGAGATACAAATGAATGAAAATGAAAGTTGACATCTCAATGCATTGTGGAGAGCTTTAGTCAAATGCATACGAACGGCTTCACAGGCAGATTTCAAGGCCGGACTCCAACCATATCTGCGTTTCCATCCATCTCGAAAATGGGCCGAACATTAAAGTAAAGAGCAAATCTGGCAGCAAATTTGTGCTGTTTTCATTCAAATTGATGCCTGCCAAGGAAACAGGTGCAGGAATACATTTCTTCCAACTGTCCAGCGCAGAGTTTTAGAGTGAGGATCACGTATGAAAAACTGGTTAGGGTCAAGATGATAGGCGAATTCTAAATTGCAGATGAAAGCTTTGCAAGCTGTTTGCACGTCCAAGCTGGCAGGTCGGAGCTGCTCGGAGAAATGATGAATTCCCCCCTTTTCTCTGCATGCAAACACACACAATAGATCACGGCGGCACACTGTGTGAAAAACTGCGACGTATAAGAAATGCAAATCAAAAACACACACACGTCTCTGTGTCTCTCTCTTTTCTTTGGCTCCCTGAAATCTGATTTATTATTCATCTGAGGTGCGTCATTTCAGATGAACATTAACAAACCCTTGTAGGAAGGGAAAATGTCATCCTATATAATGTACCTGTACATCATAATAAAGGTGATATTAAGACATACTTTTTATATAAGTTTATCAGCTTATTCCATCAAAGAGGAGAAAATGATCCTGCCAACCTACTCATTCACCCAGGAGAGCAGGCAAGTGAGTAAACAATAAATATTCTGCAGTGTACCAGACCACTATGTTCTTCCCATTGAAGAAAACACAAGGCTTTCTCTGTTTGTTTACACAGGGGTCCCCAGAGGAGCATCAAAACCCCTCTAAATGCACATGATTGTATCTTTTAATGGACTGAGCCCAGAGGATTGGCTTTGTCTGAGTTGATAACCTGAAACTTTAGTTAGTGGAGCATCATTCCTCTGCTGTAATAAAAATAATATGGTAACATTGTGGGTGAACCCAAGCGTCCATGTGTGCGCCCTCAGTGCGCCATCAGGCGGCGGACTGAGCGGCTCAGCGAGTATAAAAGCCCTCAGTGAGAGGATGCTGTCAGCTTCACTGACAGAAGAGGCAGCTGCATCATGTCAGACTGCAGATTGAACGCAGCAAAGTAGATCGATGCGGATTAATCAGCTGTTTAAAAAGATAAAACAAAATCTTAGGAATGTTGAGAAGATGCGCACAGAAACTGATCTCTGGCTGAGACTTTGAGTGAACACAGGAGGAGAAACATGGGGATTTCTGGATCCACACCTGTGCGCACACAGTCTACAAGTTAGCCTGGAAGAGGAGGGAACTTGTTTTCCAAAGTAACTCGCCTTTTCTCCTGCAGAATCATGCAGAACAGCAGCAGCAGCGGCTCCTCCGGACCCCTGAGCGCTCTGAGCGTGTGCGGAGGAGAAGAGGACGAACGGGAGATCTCGGAGCTGGTCAGTCCCACAGGAGCAGCGTCCAACCTGCCAGCCTTCAACCTCTCCCTCAACTGCTGGCTGCACATCCTCTCCAAGGAGTCCTCGCTGGACCTGCACGGAGACAGCGCGAACCTGGCAGTAGGTTTCTTTAAAGCCAGTAGATTTGCCAGGAGAGATATTATTTGTGCATGAATCACACAGTGTTTGTGTTTTTATCCTTTGTGCGCACTTTTTGCGACCATTTAAAGTCACCAGTCTTTGGTTTAACCTCTATAAACGCATCTCTGTGTGTCAAAGTTACACTTTTAAACGTTTCCCCCTGAAAACAATCCCCTCCTGCTTTAGAATGGCTTAAATGTAACTTCATGCTGTTGCTTCCTCCTGAATTTGCGCATCTAGGAAGTTCTTCATTCTCTCTTCACCCAACTCTCTCTGCTTCCTGCAGCTCTGCACACCAGCTCATCCACATACTTTGCTCAGACACTTCAAAACTACTCCATGCTACACTGCAAAACAGAGAAACAAAAAAAGCTGTAAAATAATAATAACAAACTTTAAAATCTGGAGGCAACGGTTCCAGAAAAATGCCTTTTAAAAATAGTGCAATACTGTAACATTCAAAAACAGTTAAAAAATTATGAATAAAAACACAATTACACAGAATAATGTCAAATATCTGTCATGTAGTGATTTTTTTTAGCTATTTTGTAAAGACAGTGAAACAATTTAATGATTACAAGAGTAAAACAAAAAATTATTATCTGTAAAAATACAGATTTTTGATGTTATTATACATTGTGTACACCTTTAACCAATTTTTCTTTTTTTGTCTTACAGCCAATACTTAAATTAATATTTTTTTTCTATGATTTTACTAGATATTACCTGTAATTCAGCAAAACAAGGAAAATAGCATTTGTTACAATCCTTTATATAGATATTTTTTTATTTAAAATAACAGCAAATATCTGCAAAATAGCATCACTTTTAGCTAAATAGATAGTTTTTAAAAAAGTGTAATTCTATAATCAAACATGTGTAAAAATAAATAAACAAATAAATAAAAATTGTATTACTCTTGTTAAATTGTGTGGGGTTTTTTTTAATACAGATTTTTGTGGATGTTATTTAAAGCCTTGCCGTTACTTTATGCTTAATGTGTAAGTACATACATTTTTTTTCTGTTATTTTACTAGGTGTGATCAGATTTTAACAAAAATCTGTAAAATAACAGCAAACTACTCCAAAAGTTACAGTTTAAAATTGTTTAAAGAACATTCATTTTTACAGTACACACAATGACATACTGAATATTTGAGCTAGTTAGCTGTACACGTTCGACCTGAAAACCAACTCTGAGAAAAAACAACTACACAATAAGCTCCACCCTGCAAGCTGGGAGGATTGGTTCTTTAGGTTTGTTACGTATAAAACCGTCTGAATCTGTGATTTTGTCATCTGGTTTTAAAGTTGATCATAACACTGACTGCTTTTTTTTTCTCATGATGCATCTTCTAGCTTATAACAAACACCATTTGGACATGGAAACAAGGTCAAAGTCTAAAAAGCTACTGTCTGTGTTTGACAGGTGCGGGTCCTCATTGCCCTGGTCTACCTGGTGGTGTGTGTCCTGGGCCTTGTGGGGAACCTCCTCGCCCTCTTCCTGCTCCACTCCCGCCGCCGGGGCCACCACCACTCCTCCATCGACTGCTTCGTAATGAGCCTGGCGCTGACGGACCTCCAGTTCGTCCTCACCTTGCCCTTCTGGGCAGTGGACACGGTGTTGGACTTCCGCTGGCCCTTTGGTCGGGTCATGTGCAAGATTGTGAGCTCAGTCACCACCATGAACATGTACGCCAGCGTCTTCTTCCTCACCGCCATGAGCGTGACCCGGTACCACTCCCTGGTCACCTCCCTGAAGATGGGCAGCCCGAGGATCGCCAGCGCTCAGGCGAAGTGGGCCAGTTCAGCCATCTGGGTGGTGTCACTGGTGGCCACGCTGCCTCATGCTTTCTACTCCACCACAGTCCAGGTTGGTTGAATTAAGACGCAACCACCAATCCTGATTTACTTTACTTACAGTTATCAGGGATACTTATCTTGTTTTTGCCCTGGGGAGACGTTCACAAAATGACAGAAGGCCAGGGGCTAGTAGGAAGAAAAAAAATATATAAATCAGATAAATGCATACACTTTTAAGGCCTTATCATTATTTGAAGTTGTTTATTTCAAATTAATTGAGCAAAAACCAAAATGCCATCATTGAAAATTTATTACACAAAACAAATTCCAGTGTGAATAAATTAGCAGTTGATTAGTAGCCAGTTGGTGCCCTATCAGGGGCCTGATTTGGCCCGTGGACCACATGTTGAGAATCACTGCAGGAAGTGGTCTGTGTGTTTGGTGACCATCCTCTGATTCAGTTGTTGTGTTTTCAGGTGTCTGCAGATGACGAGCTGTGCTTAGTTCGCTTCTCTGACTCCGACTCAGGCCACTGGGATCCTCAGGTCCTGCTTGGACTCTACCAAACACAGAAGGTCCTCCTGGGATTTGTAGTTCCCTTGATTATCATCTCAGTGTGCTACCTCCTCCTGCTGAGGTTCATCCTGAGCCGGCGCATCGTGGGAAGTGTGATCAGTGCCAATGTCACAGAAAAGTCCGAATGTGAGAGAGGACGCCACCGCCGCCGCTCCAAAGTCACCCGCTCGGTTACCATCGTGGTTCTGTCATTTTTCATCTGCTGGCTGCCCAACCAGGCACTGACCCTGTGGGGGGTGCTGATCAAATTTGACTTGGTTCCCTTCAGTAAAGCCTTCTACAACGCGCAGGCCTACGCTTTCCCCCTGACTGTGTGCCTGGCTCATGCCAACAGCTGTCTCAACCCGGTGCTCTACTGCCTGATCCGAAAAGAGTACAGAGCTGGGCTGAAGGAGCTTCTGCTGAGAATTTCTCATAGTGTGCAAAATGTTCTCACTCTGGCTCTGAGAGGGAGGAGAGTGGAGGAAGCACCACCCAGCATGATTATGATACACAAAGACATCAACATGTGATTTATTTTGTTGAGAGAAATGATTGACATTTTGGGAAATAGAGTTATTTCCTGTCTCTGTGTGGGATAAGATACAAACAAACATGTTCATGGGTGTGCATCACAGGTGCTGGAAGGTGAATTTTGTCACCTTTGAACTAAACCTGACTAGCTGCTTTCTTTTGTTTTCAGTGTTTGTGCTAAGCTAAGCTAACTGGCTGCTGGTTGCAGCTTTATTTAACATACAAGCATGAGAGCTGTGTCAGTCTTCTCATTTAACTCTGAGCAAAAACCACAGACTGTATGTAAAAAATGGATGTAGCCTTCGGATCTCAAAAGTGAGACCGATGCAGAGGAGACTTCAACCTGTATTCTTTCTATCAGCCAGCAGGGGGCGACTCTGGTGGTTACAAAAAGACGTCAGATTGTATAAAAAATGACCTTACTTCTCACTTGACCTGTTACCACGGTAAATATATTTCGGTTGAGTTCACGGTCTCCATGGCTAGTTTGAAATGCATAACTGTAAGCCTAAATATAATTTAAATGGATGAGTTATGAACAAATTCAGTCTCCATACAGCTGTCATGAATGGAGGACCTAGCTATAGAGACCAAAATAGTTCATGTATCAGTCTGTAAACATGTTTATTTCTTCTGTAAAGTTGGACATTTTTAACATAAAGGTCTATGGAGACAGACTTGCTTTTGGAGTCTGCCTCAAGTGGTCGCTCATGTAACTGCAGTTTGACTTTGTCACTATCAGAGGTAACCGCTTGGTTCTTGCTCGTATGCCACCCTTTTCTCATCACATTTGCTTTCAGAAAACCAAGGGGACGACAGCCAAATTCCAAACTCAAGGTTTCGGTCCACAAACCGATGAGCAATGTCACGATGGCTCCGTCAGTCTTTTATATACAGTCTGTGGCAGGAACGGCATTAAATGTATTCTCCAAAATATGAAACTTTTCTTTCAACATGAAAAAAAAGTTCCTTACAATTCCTCACATTTCAACTTTGTGTGCCATTTTTAACCACCTCCCCCCCACCCATCCAAAATCCATCGACTCCGACAAACCTAAGCAGCCATTTTTTTAGCTTGATTAAGCCCTTTCATGAAAAACACCAAAATACTGCACATTGGAGGTATTTTTTGAGGTGAATTACACCTTCATTCCTGAAAATCAAAGCCTTCAATCAGTCATCCCTGAACTACACTGTGGGCTGATTTTTTCTTCTTCTTCATACAATCAAGCAAAATACACTGTGTTGTAAAGTCATATTTGTACTTTGCATCTCCAACACCCACACCGGCAGTCATACAGGCTGTGGGATTGCTACAGTTCCATTCGAATCAATGTCTATAATATGTATGTTTTGTGTTATTGTCTGTAACTGCGTTCAGACGCTGGAATTCGCCACATGTCAGCCTTCACATGCAATCAAATTTAACTCTAAGACATTTGCCGTTCAGTGTTTGACGCTTGTCTCAAGACATTTTTCTCTGCGTCTGCTTTGCTTGTACCGCCGTGAATGGTTTTTGTAAATACACGTGTGTTATGTGACATTAAATAAAACGCGAAGACAAAAGCATTCAGTGATTTCTCAGGAAAGTTAATCTCTCCCCCCCTGCGGTCACCACGAAGAAGAGGTAAACGAGGCAGCTGCACAAAAGCTGTTTGGCGTTTTTGCCCTTTTGCAACCTTTAAATTTTGAACACAGATAACCATCTTCAGCCACCCACAGATAGTTCCTGACATACAAATACCACACACACACCTCCATTGTGTGTCACTCTGGTAGTAATTGCTTCTCCAATCAGAATCATGGATTTATTCAGCAGGTCTCCCCCATGGGGGCAAAGCCAGCTGGTCACCAAGGGAACCTGCCAGTTACAGACGGTGAACAATCAAAAGCGTGATTTCCGAGTGACTGTTGTCCAAAAATCTGGGCCAATTCCGTTGTTCAAATTACTGCCCGACCATCACTGTTCTCTGTGTTAACGAGTTAAAAAAAAACAACCCTTCTGCTGCTGACATGTGTCATTGTTTCCGCTGATTTGAAGCGTTCCTACAGACGAACTGGACTGCTTTTTCCATCAAAACAATGGACAGAGCACATACAACACATACACACTGCTCTCTGCTGCACAGAGCCGGTGCACGAAACAACAAGAAACGTCTGACAGCTACAAGCATTGCAATCTTATGTGTGTCCAGCGATTCATCTTCAAGCACAGGGAGCAATTTCACAGAGCCCCACTGAAGGAAACCCAGATGTGAGTGTCTTCCACGTGTGTTCATGCCCAGCCAGCCTGGATTGCTGCTTGAAAACAATTACAGGCTCGAGATGTTTATTTCCCACAAGGACACTGTCACGCGTGACGAGTGAATGACACGCTATATATAGAGGCAGAGAAATGGGTTAAAGCCAGTCATGCTCGGAGGTGATACGTCAAGAACACGCAAACGGCACGGTGTCTTAAGGTGTCAGCAAAGAAAGCTGAAGAGCAATCTATTCTTACATACAAAAGAGCAGCTATTTTTGTACACGGGGGGATTCTAGATTGTGCTGTGAAATCTGTTGTTTGATTCGAGGGGCCCGGCCTCGTGGAGCTCGAATGTGAGACAAGGACCTTGAATGCGCATCCTTTCCACGAGTTAGCAGCGAGGTCATTTGCACAGAGTTCACGTACGCTGCACAAGCTGACGCGCAGCCGGTTTCTGGTGCTGAAAAAAAAATGCTGTCACTTCAGTAAAGAAACACTCCTGTGTGAGAAGCAAAAGAAAGAGAAAGAAGAGGAAGGAGGAGGAGGAGAGAGAGTGTGTGATAGATACTGCATGACATATTAAAGTGGCAATCTCGATTTTCATTTTCAACCTTCCCCCTGGTGGAAATTTAAGTTTTCTCCTTGTTAATGTGTCCATTTTACTGCAGTGAGTAGTGGAGGGGTGAGTGGAGACAGAGGTGGGTTGCTTAGATCTGCACATTGTCCACGGAGCTGGGAGTTGTACTTAAGCAATTTTAAGAAAACGGATTATTTTTATGGAAAATCCAATGACACTCTCTGCTCTAGAAACTCATCTCTGTCAAAGTTACATCAAAGTTAGATATTTTGAAGTTATTTTTCTGGGGAAATAAGAAATAATCTTCTGGCTCAAAATGGCTTGGAGGTACTTTTACATCATCGTTGCAGCCCTCTCTCTACTTTGCTGCAGCTTGAGCACACCAGCTCACATACAACTCAATTCAACCACCATTAAACTACTCTACAACACACAAAAGCAAGTTCTAATATTAGAGTAATCTGACCATAAATGTTAGAACCAGAAATGGATTGTGAAGAAAAATAATGACACAAAAAGCCCCCCTTCAAGTTTGTTATGTATCAAACTGTATTCATGTTTTTGAGACTGTCATCGGTACCCTGCAGATGTAGCCATGGTGTTGACTGCTTATTTCACTCATAATGTGTCTTCCAGCATATAAAAACACCATATGGACATGTCAACAAGGTAAAAAAAACAAAAAACGCTTGATTTTCACCATAGGGGTCTTTTAAATAATTCAGAATAATGGGAAAGAAGAAGCAGCTACAGGAGGCTGCTAGATGAAGAACTACAGGCAACAGGCTGCACAGCTCCAACTTTTCAATGAGGCAGTCACTTTTAATTTCCATCGTGCCCTGCTGTTCAGAGATTCACACTGTGAGCCGCATTAAATCTGATCACACTTGCTCACAGGAGAATGGAAATCAGGTCAATTATTGCCTGACTTCTTTAATGCATTATTAATAAAGAAATACATTCTTGTTGAGCTGTAGTCCAACACTGCAACCGCTGTCACCATGAGTAAGTCCTCGTGTTGAAGATTCTGAAGTTTGACACTTAATGTGCTACATTTACATAAACAGCAACCAAGTCCACTTGCTAGTATTTTTCAGAGTTTTTAATTAACACTATTTGGAAGAAAGACGAGGACACATAAAGGAAAACTCCAGCTATAATCAACTACAAGAGTCGAAAGTTCCATCCATCCATTATCTATACACCGCTGAAGGGTCATTAAGCCTATCATGGATCAAGGGTCATGGAGTCTATCCCAGCTGACTCAGGGTGACAGCAGGGGACACCCTGGACAGGTCACCAGTCTGTCACAGGGCTACACTTAGAGACAGACAACCAAGCACACTCACATCCAGTGATTTTTTTTTAAAGTTTTTTGCTGAACTTTCAGCTGTATCTCAAAGCCTTCAGCATGAAATCCAGTAATTGTAGCTGAAAGGTCCGGTTACAACTCAGCAGGTCTTCATTATAAAGAGTTTTCAACCACATCATCATGAAGACTATGAGATGTGGGTAGAAGCTCTGGCTGAACTGCCAGACTTAACTACTCTTAACTCAGAGATTTATCCATCCATTATCTATACACTGCTTAATCCTCATTAGGGTCGCGGGGGGCTGGAGTCTATCCCAGCTGACTTAGGGTGAAGGTAGGGGACACCCTGGACAGGTCACCAGTCTATCACAGGGCTACACTTAGAGACAGACAACCAAGCACACTTACATTCACACCTACAGACAATTTAGAATCACCAATTAACCTCAACATGTTTTTGGACCTCATGGGAGGAAGCCGGAGAACCTGGGGGGACCCCACGCTGCATGGGGAGAAACATGCAAACTCCATGCAGAAAGATTCCGGTGACCTTCTTGCTGTGCCACCTTGCAGCTCCCTCAGAGATTCAGTTTCTAGCTTAAAAAAAAAAAAATAGTCTTAATAAGGAAGTATCTTAGACGCTGTTGTAAGCTCAACTACACGTCTGCTTAACTAAAGATGCACATAATAGCTTTTCTAGAGCTCTAAACATCACCGGCCTCACCGTCAACAGCTTCCACATGCAGCCCATTCACCTTCCTGAGGCCTTCAGAGCTTACAGTCTCTTCTCACGGTCCTCATCACGGAGCGACTCCTCAGTTGAAAGCTGATAAAGGCAATAACTGGAGCTTGACTTTTGCTAGGGCCAGAATGATCTTTCCCACTCTGAAAAAATACGACTTCAGTAGGGGGCAGTGAGGACCCAGGCACAGTTTAGACAAGATGAGGGCACGTGAATGTTAAGAGGAGCATAAAGCAGAAGTGTGTCCTGTGGTTTCTCCTCTCAACACGCTTCCTTTGGTAATAAAAGTCCAGGAGTCGTTGCAAAGGCAAAGTGGTTGCTTCACATTGTTTCACTTGTGCTCGGTAGATTGCATAGCTGACCTGCTGAGATATGATTGCAGCACTGTGAGCTGGTGTTGAAGTCATTTGTGCTGACATCATTTAAGATTCAATGTGGCACTTGTGATTGTATGTTTTTTATTATGTTATTAAAAGGAGGTTTGTTCTGACAGTGGATTGGCGTGCCACTCCCCTGCAGCAAAGTGTGTCATCTGTCATTTTTAGAGCTGAGGTTAGTGACCCTGATTTTAATAAACCAACCAATAACGGCATTTATTACCCAAAGGCACTGAAGTACAGAAAGCAGGTATTTCAGTCAGAAAGCATCATCTGATTACGCTGCAATTTTACTGCTTCGTCTCCAAAACCCTTCAACCAGAAAATGTTAATTAAATGTTGGTTTAATTATCCAGTAGTCACTGATAGTGTTTAACTGCCACTAAAAAGGATGTAAAAATCCTGATAAACATTTTTCATTTAATTCTTTACAAGCATTAACCACTACATATTCTGTGAATTTTATTTCACTAGAAGATGAGCTGAACGTCTGACGTCTCCACACAAACACACAACTAAGGGCCTTCCACTCCACAACATTTATGTTTTATGTTATGTTAGTCGCCATTTTTTTTTAATCTAAACTTTTCTGCGAAAGCTTTTCCCTCGCCTCTGTGAAAATCATTTTGCAATCCGTGGCCCGATCCTTGGATTACACAGGTAATCAAAAGCACTAACCTTTGATATTAACATTCGGTTTACGTCATAACATTTCCTGGTAGGTTTTTAAAGCTACTTAACGCTGCCCTCTCAGAGCTTGTAAGACGTATGACTCACATCATATTACAGGTCATTTGCAATTTCGTAAAAGAAGATGGACAAAGTCACATTTCTGCTTCACTCAGTCACTGAAGTGCCTGAAACGTCTCAAAACAAATGTAATGAAATGGCTGGTGTTATTAAAAATAACTCACAAATCAGGATAAAAGCTTCATGTCACCTTGACTGCTGCCAACTGTCCTTTTAATCAGGACAAAGAGCCAGCTCACAATGAAATTGGCTCCTCTCAGCAGCAACAGCTCAATTTAGAGTCTTTCTGAACAGTTCATCTGCCACTTATGAGTAAATTACAACTGATTATTGTGCTTTTCTGTTTTCTGGCACTCAGTAGTTTTCTAACTGGAAGTGTGGCGTCTAGCACGTGGACTCAGGCTGCTAAATTGCCTCTTATCGTCTTTAACTTTTTGAACATTTTCCTCTCTCTACATTTCCACACCAGTTCATTCTACTTGACGCCAGAACAAAATTGAATTCCGAGAATCTGCCGTTGCCTCAATCTGACGGAGACTTGATTAATTTCAACTTTGAAACTCGGGTTTCTGGTGTATTTGACTCATCAGAAAAGATAGCATGACACTTCAATCCCTATTGAGTGAAATTGAGTCGGGATAAAGATAAGAGGAAGCTTTTATTTCTTTAAATTGGATGTCCCGGCGTTATCAGGAGCTTTCCGACAAAACAGAACTTTTTTTTTTAAATTGAATAACGTGTCTGAAATGTGGAGACATTCATTTTAAAGCACAGCCTATTAAAAGTAAGTTTTACGTTTACAGGAATCCTTTAAAGTGGTGTCTCTCTCATCATATCGCGTTCACTTCTCAGTGTCTGTCTAACCTTTGACAGCAATTACAACTTCAGCTTTCTTCCTCAGAGACCTGCTTGAGCTCACATACGCTGAATGGGATCTTCTGTAAACAGACTGCAAGCAGACTGCTTCTGTGAATTGCTCCTGTGCTTTGCTCTGTCAGCCACGTGGGAGGTTTAGCTCCATGTTTAGAGGCCGTTTGTAGCAGGATGTTCCGACCTCGCCGGCTCCATTCATTGTTCTCACTTTCCTTAAAAGCATTCCAAAAGCTACCAGCAGAAACTCTTTCGCTGAGCGTGAAGCTGCAACTCTGATGTCTCACAGCAGGACTTGTGTTAAATGGTTAATGTGCTGCGGCTGCTTCCCTCCAGACGGAGCACTTGGAATTCCAACTGAAGGGTTTGGATTCTGGCTTCGTCAGACCACAAAGTCTTTGATGCAGGCTTCTGCTGTCTGTGTGCCAGCTCCAGGGCATGCCGTCACTGACTGGCTCCCTATGGCCACTCTGCCATTTAGCCCAGACTGATGAAGAGATGGACTGATTGTTGTCCTTCCAGAGAGAACGGCCTTGACGGACAGCGGGATTCTGATGCATATTCTCTGACCGACATTCTTGTCGCTAAGCTTAAGAGGATGAGCAGGTGTAAAAACAGTATGTCTGACACTATATATAGTTTCTGCTTACTTCTGGTAGAGCCAGAACCACTAATGCTTCACAGGTTGGATGCCGTTTTCTTTGGTTATGTGCCTCCTCCTCATCCTTCTGTCCCTGAATCCTACACAGCTCCTTAGAACAAGTGGCTCTGAACAGCACTGGCATCTGTTGGATTTCAGGGAGACAGTATGCTGTTTAATACATTTCCTATGGTTTGCGCTGACCAGGTGGACAAAACTGAAGCTTTGGACTCATAAAATACATCTGAATGAGACAACAAACGCTGAATCCGTAAAGGACACTCCACACGGAGTTCAATTTGCAAAGAAAATCTGAGGAAATAACCCAGAAGATGTAATTATGGTTTTCAAGAGCAGGCATTACACAGTGGGGACATCGAGCTTGAAAGGCATGATTATTTTATCATGAAGAGAACACTGAAACACGCTTCTTGTTGCATTATGGGAAATGTCTGACTGTCCAGCAGCACTATTGCACTAGAACTGACAGACACCACTGATAATCCATTTAATGTGAACAGGAATGAATAATGATTCTCTACATTGGGCTTGTGGGGTCGCACATTTCAATCTGACGGCATAAAAAAGAAAAGAATCTGTAAATTTTTCTACCTTATCAGCCTTTAAAAACCCTTCACAGTGGCTGAAATGTTCACAACTGGTGTCCAGAACATGGGATGAGGGGGTACAGTTAATCTCCTTTAAAGCAGCCACAAGGTAAAAATGTTGAGAATCACAGGCTTTAGAAGATAATAGAGGACCATCTGTAGTTATGGCCTTAAATGTGTTTTGTGAGGTCTCTGTAACCTTCGACTTTTGAAAAGCAAAATCTAATTTGAATCCAAATGTATGTTTATGCCAATTTGGAGAAATTCCCTCAAGCCGTTGAAGAGCTGTTTTACGTCCACGAGAACAGGATAGATGGATGGAAAACCTGAAAATAATATTGCGTATAGTGCACAGGTGGAATGTGAGCATTTATCTCGTGAGCATTATAGGTCAGACACGAGTTCACAGCAGCCGCAACATGAAAACCACTGACGGGTGAAGTGAATAACAATGATCATCTCATTACAATTCAGTGTTCTGTTGTAAAACCTAGTGTCCTGGCATTCACGTGGAAGGCAGCAGCCTCCCCCCCAGCAGGACAAAGCACCCTGCTGCACTGCAAAAACTGTACAAAAAATGGTTCGAGGAACACAACAGAGAGCCCGAGGTGTTACCCTGGCATCCCAAACCTTAACTGAGCATCAACAGCTGCACTGGATCAAGCCCAATCCAGGGAGGCCTCATTTCTGCAGCCTACAGCACCCAAAGGATCTACTGCCAGCATCAATGAGAAAAAGCTGTTTTGAGCAGCACGATAAATGGCAGGTGGTTTTCATAATTCACTCAGATTAAGGCAATCTAATTACTGTATGCATGTGTTTAGATCGCAGCTGTTGTGTATTCTGGCAGGAACACATACTGCACAAACGAAAAGACAAAGTGTCCTCATAGAAGGACGTATATTCAACATCAGGTATGCAGCATCATGTTTTTCTGTAGTGATCATGTATTTATACAAACACCTGTGTCCCATTGCTTTAAAAAAAAGGAAAATAAAAGGCACAATTATTATTTTTTTTCCTCAGTGTTTAGGTTACGTGGAAACCTAATTATACTCGTCTCTGCTCGTCCCACCGACGTCACGTCTTAAAAAGGGCTGATTATATTATTCATATACAAGGCACGAGATGTAAATTCGAAACTACCAAAGTGTATAGATGTTGACCTCCGAGATGTTAATGAGATTTCATGGCAAACGCATTCACACATTATCTCAAAGGAGCACAGGCTTGTTTTTTCATTTCCTCTTAAATATTGGTCCACATCTGGAACTAGGCCACTGGTGACAGACATGCAGCACATACAAAAGATGCTAACACAAAACTATTGTTTATTGCAAAATGTAATTAAACCGTAAAGAATATTTTTAAAAAAACAACAACAACAAAAAAAAACTCTGACGTGTCATTTTCCATGGGAGTACACAGACTTTTCCTGAGATAAAAATATTTTCCTAGAAATGTACAGCGTGATTACTTTGCGACCCAAAATCAGATTTGACCTAAAATTCCCCCGAACTGTATCAGTCTTGGAGATGCTCTCTTGACATTCCTTTTCATGACATATCGAACCAAATAGTCTTTAAAGACAAGATCTGCAGGGACATGATCTGGAGCGCATGGCTATAAATAAAGCTTTTAATAAGGTACCTTATTAAAAATGTTATTTATAATGATGTGCTCCACATCTCATCTCATTATTCTGTCTGTTAAAAGGCTGGTTCTCCATCGAAAGTCAAGCTCCAAGTTACATAACATGCAAAGGAGGAACGTTGAGATCCCAGTTACAACTTTTCCTATTAGGCAAAAACAACATTTTTCATCAAGCGTCCACCTAATGAGAGGAGGTCAATCTGTGAGACTTGCTGGCTCTCGTGGCTGTGAAGGGAGTGTCAGAAATCTTAAGAAAACCACTACAGTACGAGAAAAGTCCTTGTTCCAGAAGATGAAACAAACCTCTGTTCTCCAAGATATTGATCAAACATATCGCCCACAGCTGTAAGCTTTGTTTCTGGGCTAGTTTCTGCTATGAACGTATTGTGAGAGAAAAGTACCTGAGGCTATTTCTCCTCATTTATCTCCACTGCAGAGTCAGCTCTCTCCTTTTTTACAGAAACTGTGTCCTCCTTCACATCATCTGTTGGCTGAGTTGCTTCTCTTTTCCTCTCCTTCTTAATAGGCTCCTTTTTCACCTTGTCCTTTGCGACAACACCTCGTGGTGGTTTGATATCGTCGCTGGATTCAGACGTGGCCTTGGACGTCTCACAGACAGTCGGTCCCTCCCATTTTGGGATGTCCAATCCCAGCATCTCCATCAGATGCTTCATGACATCGTCCACGTAACCATGGATACGCAGGTGTGCATGCTTATCCTGCAAGATAATTACGCCAATGAAATGCAGAACATGGAGATAGTGGATAGAGCATCAGATAGGCTTTAACCAGCAGTTTTTTTTGATCTATGCACAGTGTTTGCACAGACCATTTGATGATTCCTGGATGAAACACTGGATATGTGTCGGTGTGATATGACGCATGAGTGACACTCACGTGTTTGGTTGGCTGCAGGTTGACAATAACTATTTTCCCTCCCTTGCGTTTGGTGAGGAGTGGGAGGTCTCCACTGGGTTTGATTTGCATCGACGTGCCCAGAGTCAGCGCCAGGTCTGCTCGTCTGCATGCCAACAGGTGACGAAGAACATCATTAACAAGAGTTGTGACTTCTTTGACATTCTTTTGATTTTCCTGCTATTCCTTCAGGTAAATAGTACGAGTGATCCCAGAGACAACTCCACTGTATGTTGCCGTGTGCACAAATGCTTCATTCTTCTTCGTTTTCTTTCTGCATAACTAGTTTTGCACCTCAAACAAACACCAAAACATCCGGATCATTTCCACAGTGACTGCAACAACTTTTCTCACGTTTTACCTTTTTCAAAATAACCCATGATTTATCACAAAAAAATAACCTAAAATACAAACAGGCAGAATATTTACAGCTACAGTGGGACTAATTCACCACAAAGTCAGAACTTTTGTCTCTCACAATGTTACTCTCCAAGCCAATTAAAACCTCATAATGACCAGAGTACCACACATCTGTCCCATACACTGCATTACAAACTGAGGCCTGAATTTTGAGAGAAACAACTCACTCAGTTTTCCACCATTTTTGACACCAAGAACAAAACTTAAACCCTGACGTGCTCCGCAAAGTCTCAGAGAGCTCAAAGTGTTACAAGGAGTTCAGCTTTTTGACTGAACAGCAAAAGGTTGAAGAGGAATCAAATCTCGGTGAATTTTCCGTCTGACTCATGGAGAATGCTGCAGATGCGGTCACCATGGCAACTTTAATGATGTGGCAACACGCAGTTGATGTACATTTTTGTAATTAAGAGCCTCTCTGCTCTCTGTGCTTTTAAAAACACACTTGACTGGCAGTTCTGGTGCACTGTTGCTACACAACGTTTCCACACAAGACACCAGATTCACACACATTTCAACAGTTGTCACTGGAAGCACGGTTTTAGTTCAGTTCTATTCTGGAGTCACTGGCAGTTCTAGTCAAAGTGACTCTCCAGTCATTAAATTGAATCCTAAAAACTCATCTCTGCTACTTATTTCGATGTTTCTCCATGAAAAATATTCTGTTTCTGCTTTAAAATGGTGTAGCTGTGACCTGTCTCTGTAGCCTTTCTCTCTTTCTCCACTCATCCATCCTCACTCTCTGCAGCTCAGCATACACGCTCACCTATGACTCTTGTCAAACACTGTTAAACTGCTCTATTTTACACAATTTCTAGTTTTGGTTTTTGGTTCTGGATAATACTGTTGCAGTTTGACGTTGTTGGTTTTGTTTGTTTGTTTTTTTTGTGTCTGCAACGGTCTGGGTCTGTGTGTTTTTGTTTTTCCATTTGTATTTTTCTGTTTCAAGGTGGAAATGCTCGGCTATGGCATTGACTTTGCCATATGATGTTTCTTCTAGCATGTAAAAAAAAACCACACACAGACATGCTGACAAGGTGACAAGTCATCTGAGGGGTGCTGTAATGTAACTTCTAGCAGTGAGCAACAGACCAAAGACAGCAGCAATCCCCCTGCAGTTTCTCCAAGAATTGCACAGTCTGGTCTATGCATGCAGTCGAGCATTAAAATAGTAGAAGGGAAGTTAGTGCAGCTTTATTAAGGGTGAAACAGAATACTGTAGGTTTTCCAACAAACAAGATTTGCATCAGTTTCAGTTTGATAGTCACTAAAGAGTCGGTATGATATATTTTAAAAAAACCCTCTCTGAATACATTTCTAATGTTTGTAGCATATACCAAATAATAACTCAACAATTTTCCCTTGGTTACAGGTACAGAACTCGGCAAATGTATGTTTTATTTCGCTGTGTTTTTAAGGGCTGCAGCATAGCTTTGGAATTTAGACGTAAACACAGCTTTGATTAATATTCAGCTATTCTTCCACATTTTCCTCCCTGTCATAAATAATAAAAAAAACACTGAATTCGGTGAGTTCAACGGTCAGAGCTCCAAATCGCTGTAGCTTAAATGGTAATTACACATCTATTATGGGTCACGGACGGCACATCACGGTGACACACATACATCTTATTCATCTTGCTGCTTTGTAAACACATGAAAAGGGTTTTTGTGGCTGAAGGCCAGAACGAAAATACTGACGCTGAAGAGGAAAATGGAAGCATTAAAGCAAATTGTGACGTAAACATAAACACTGATAGGAATTCTCAATAAGAACTACTTTCCATGGGCCACAGAAACCTAAAACAATACGTTATTTCCCCTATTTCAGTCCACAGGTCATGTCTGAATTAGTACCTAAGCTTTAAAGCATGAGATGAAACAGGGATGTCAGTGGAAAAGAGTGTGTACTGTGTGACTAGACTACCAACACAGGTGATGACACAAAGGACATCTATAGAATAAAGTAAAAAGAGCAACATGAAGTACAAACTACTGCGTGTTTGCTTGTCTCACCTGCTTGCATCATCTGCTTTGTTCAGGTCCCTGTCAGGAAGAGCATCCTCCCAATCCAGTATAGTGCTGATCAGCTTCCCTCTTTTGTAGTTAAGAACACATAAATTATTCTGTGATTACAGACAGTTTGTAAGTTTAAAAATGCACAAGTCCCCTCCTGCATTACCTGCATGCTCTGAGTCCTCTGGATCGAACCACATCACAGTAACGCCCTGTTGGTTTCAGCCCCATCACACCGATCACCTTTTCTCGGACATACTGCCTGACAAAAAACAAACGCAAAGCCCACAGTTTAATTCTCAATGCGTGCAGAGCAGCTTTGGTTTATACACGTTATACACAAAAACATGATAACACACACTCAATGGCCACTTTATTACATAGATCAGACAACGTTTGCTTCAGAGAGCCTTCAAAATGTAGCGTCAAGAAAATTCAGGAATTATTCTTTAGGGATTTTGGAGACTTTACAACATCATGTAGCTTCTGCAAAACTATTCAAACAAAGAACATCTGTTCTTCAGCCCTCCTGTTCCACATCATCCCAAAGGCTATCTACCGACGGAGACTGTGCAGCTCGCTGAGATGAAGTCAGGTCACCGTCTTAATCGTAGAAACATGTTGAGATAATGAGTATACGAGGTGTGACAGAAAAGTTCCAGGACTGGTGTCACAAAATATATATTCCAACTACAAACTACAAGTTTTCCCGTTCCAAATAATCTCCCTGGAGTCTAACGCACTTTTCCAGCCTTCTCTGCCACGTCGCCATGCACTCCTGGAAGGATTCTTCTGGGATCCTCCACAGCTCCGTCATCACAGCCATCTTGATGTCATCCACATCTTTAAAACGGGTCTCCTTGATGACCCCCTTGAGCTTGGGGAAGGGGAAAAAAATCCCACGGATCCAGGTGGGGTGAGTATGGAGGTTGCTCCAGCACGGCCATGTTCTCCTCAGCCAGGAACTGTGGGATGCTCAGGGCATTGTGAGCAGGCGCGTGGTCATGATGAAGCAGCCACTACTTGTCCTGCCACAACTCTCGCCTCTTCTCGCGCACTGAACAAAGCAAATTCTGCAGGATCTCTTTGTAGACGTGCTGGTTGATCTTCTGAAGGAGAAAACTCCTAGTTCGTAGTTTGGGTTTGAAATATATCTTTTGTGACACCAGTCCTGGAACCTTTCTGACACATCTCGTACATTAACCTGTTTGTTTTTCTCAGGAAGAGAGCAGATTGGCTTGTGAGGACTTGGCAGCAGATAACTGGCAACGTTTAGTACTGTGCTGCCACTTGTGTGCAGAGGAAAACACTTGTCACATAATTGCACTTGACGTGCATTTCAGCTTTTGTTTTTACTCAGAAGTGGAAGGCACTGTGCTTTTTCCTGCTGCTGCAGGTGATCCGCTTCAGGGTGCGTTCAGCCCCTCTGCAGGCCAGCTGAGCTTCTACCTGGGTACTTTCTTATGAATATTAAAAAGTCTGGCTTCCTCTGACCTTTCTTATTGATAAGGTGTCTTCAACCACAGAACTGCCCCTATTCTGCACAGTCTGTCGTCTGTACAGCCTGTGCAAATCCCAGGAGGGAGATGCTAGAAAGACCACAATGACACTAGCAAACATTAGAAGTTGGAAAGTCTGAATACTGTGCATTTGAATGTGAGGTGAACAGTAGCTGATCCTCTCGCCTGCATGCTTTATTATGCATTATGCAGCAGCCCCATGACTTGCTGTTCACAGAACCAAACAAGTGCGACTAATCAGATGAGAACGATCAGTGTTGCAAGATCAAAATGCGTGGTACTGTGTGTGTGTGTGTGTGTGTGTGTGTGTGTGTGTGTGTGTACTTGTGTGCATACCTGCCACATTTTTCACACTCCTCCACAAACATGTTCCCATGAAGCTCTGATAACATGTCTCTAATAGAGGAAGGGGGGAGAATCAGAAAAGCAGAAAGATTAAAAAGGTGACATTCACTTACATTATGCTCTCCAAAGCTAAAAGTAAATGTCAGGACTCTCAAGGACAACTTTTTCTCTGTCCTTTTGGTGACTTGTTTTCTAATTAATATTCCAAGCACTCATATTAATTTCTGGGGTTCATTTGGCACCTGTGCAGATTAGTGCCAACCAGCAAACTTCACAAGTTTGTCTGCTGTCTCAATAATTTCCTCAGAGAACTAATGCTGGGCTGTCTGGCTTCATTAAGGGTGGAGGGAAATAAAATCCAAAATGTCTTCCAGGGAAAGCAAGTCCTCCAATATGAGTACAGGCTTGACGTCTGAAATGAATTAAAAATTGGGACTTTTGGCCGTTGGTTAGTCCAACAGAACTGGATCATCCGTAGTCAAACCAAACATTTTCTATTACACTGAGTTTTGTTTCAGGTTGTTTAGCAGTGTCGCGTCATAAAACAGCAGCTTCACATTCAAAACAGTCACAAGCCAACATGTAACAAAAAATCTGTTTAGCTCAGACAACGTACAATTTGGTTTAAATTGAGTAAAATATGAGAAATGAATAAAGAAAACTACAATGTGGTTGCTTCTTGATTAATGATATTTTCACTGCATTTTCTGAATAAGCACCTCATGTCCACTTACTCATTTACCCTCCTCTTCAATCACGCTACTTAAACTCTAAAGCTCTCTACACAACAAAGCTAGAGGCATCACGAAACTGCAGGATGTTCATTTGCATATGAATAACACAGTTGGCTGTACTCGGACAGTTTCATGAAAATGATGAAATTTGTTATAGTCACACTTTACACATCTTTAAAGCTGCAGTAATCCATATTTTATAAAGGGATAAAAGACAACTACATAGCGCCACCAATTGCGTTTGATATTATCACAAGTTACCTGGGGAAACCTGAGCGAACATGCAGGCCGTCCACATTCTGGCTGATGAGATACTTGAGGTAGCCGGCCCTCTGCAGTCCCAGGAGGGCCAGGTGAGTTAAGCTGGGGCGGGCGTCTTCAAAAGTGGTATCGAAATGAGGTGACTCACCCTTTTCTTCTAACGTCCAAACACCCTTTGGACCCCTGAGGGAGAAAGTGGGGATGAACAGATGGAGTAGGCATTAGCAGGATGTGACAGGTTGTAATGTAAGGGGCGGACTGGGGATATTATACAAGTCTACATCTTTTATGTGGGTTTGCATTCATGGTGGTATATTAACCCTAAGAGCTCTATGCTGCTTTTGAGCAATTTATCTTCCTTTACTTCCAAGCCAAGCTTTTATCTTGGTCATTCGGAGGGCTATGCATACACGCTGTACGTTGCTTTCATCAGAGGCTACCCAGATCAAACACTGTTTGATATAATAATGCATGCACATTTTGTATACTAGCCTTCATACCAAGGAATACAACATGGGCTACTATAAGAGTGCTTTTACATGTATCTCATCATTAAACGCTGGCAGTAGATATTATATAATGTTAGACTTGGCAATTTGGAAGAACATGTATTTAGTGGAAAGAAGTGTCATTGTTTTATTCACTTAAATGTTCATATATAGTGGCCTCACTGCACATGTAACCTGTGTCTCTCTTTTAATCATCAACTTTTTAATTACTGCAAGGAAAAGCAAACTTTGTGTGTATTTTTCAAGCAGCGCTACCTTGGGAGCTAATGCAGAAATTAGCTAGAATTTCAAAACCATTTTTCATGATAACAACTAGTGTGAAAAACGGGAGGAGAACTCAGTAAAAATATTACTTGTGCAGAATTCTGCGCAGTCTTTGTGAAGCGATTACTTCAGATATATCAGTATCGGCATGTATGTTCTCCGATATGCGATTACATAAAAACTTTTTGTTTTTAACGAAACAGTGCAGAAAAAGGTACATGGGAGGATTCAGAAAAGTTTTAACCACATGCATACTTCTTCCAGCAGAGCAGCTGTGACTCCATTGTTTTCAGTGCTTTAAGCACAGTCTGCAGCACATGTAGCAGAGCACTTGTCAGGGCTGAAGTGGTGCGGAGTCAAGAGGTGTCTTCACAGTAAGTCAGGAACTAGTTTGTGAAATACACTGCAGAAAACTACCACCCTTCCTTTACAATATCACTAACACAATATATGTATGTATATGAAAATACCAGATAACTTATTGATATTTTTACTTCATAAATCTTTGCATTAACATCAGCCCCAAAAAATCCGTATTGGTCAGGCTCTAGAATGTATAAATATGTGACAAGCATCATCACAAAGCTCAGTTCTGCTCTGCCTCGTGCTATGTGCTCCGTATCTATGCAGTGGTGAGTTCATGCGTAATTCAAACAAGTATAATGACTGTGGAGATGGACACGGAGCTGTAAACAAAGTGTAACTGTGATTACATTTGAATGTAAATCCAAAATTGTTTTTCTTGCCAACACTTCATCGCACAGAAAAGCAACAAGCATTGTTGGAAAAGTTCACCATCTCCCTGAAATGAATACCAAATGAGCAATTCAAGGAGAAGAAGGGGTGTAAATTTGAATGCAATTTGCACGTGTCCAGTGGGATGAGATCTGTAGAGGATCTCTGCAAAGCTTGTGTATCAAATTGACAACACGCTGTCAATTCTGCTAGTACTGATAATATGCAAGATCAATAAAAACGCTGCAAAGAATCTCCCACTGGTAAAAGCCACAAAGAATATTTGAGAAAATACATCATTGAAAGGCCTTCTGACAAACATTGTACAAAGACACCAACAGTCTGATTTGACAGAAACATTTCTAATTGTGTACAGCTGCAAGTTTTCAGACTACAATGTATAAAATCTAAATGGATTTTATTCGTGTTCCTTTGATTAATTCACTTTTGGGCATCTGAATGGAGGCATGAACGCAGCAGCACTGTCAGCGACGGAGCGGTCGAACACCGCTGCCAAGTTATTTCGAGGACACACAAGTTATCTTAATGCATCGGACGAAAGAATGAATGCTGTGAATCCTCAAACGCAGCCACGACAGTCTCGTCTATCTCTCGCTTTCAGCTTGAACTTAAACAGCTCCATCTGTCATCGGCAGCATGATTTAGCGCCTGCTCAGCAAAGACCAATTCAAAGACTCATCGGCAGCAAGGGATTGGAGTGTATGTCACATATTACACGCTTATCGCCGTGAGAAAGATGCTGCAGGACATTAAAGCCACAAAGGATCTGCAAAGCTGCTATATTTGCATGTTTTGATGTCACCAATACTATAAACGTAAGGGGCTCTTTTTCTTCCTGTGTGAAGCGTGTGTGTGTGTGTGTGTGTGTGTGTGTGTGTGTGTGTGTGCGCGCGTGTGTGTGTGGGTGTGTGTGTGGCAGCATTGGGGATATAATTAGCATTAGTGGGCCTGATGTGTATACAGGAAACATGGCTTCATTGATGTACCGTCCAAGGTCAACACTACCTGATTGACAGGCAGACGAATCAAATATTAATTGGTCTCCAGATCTCCAAGCATGTGTGCGTGCGTGCATGTGTGTGTGTGTGTGTGTGTGTGTGAATGCACACACTCCATTCATCTTTTCTGAAGTAATTATAATTAAGATCTTATTAACATTTATAGTTTAGGTTGCAGAATTTTGCATTGGACCGGAAAATAATCACTTCATTTCAGTGTGTGTTATAGTTTTACAGAGAGCTGGATCTGACATGTAGTAAGCGAGCAGCACCTTCATCTGCTCAAACTGTGGTACTGCAAGAGGAACAGGTGAGTCTTCAATAAAACCTCCTTTCAGACGTGCGTGGCATCGGCTAAGTTTCAACGACAGTGTTACTAAGTTTCTGTCATTGCTTTCTGCCCAGCACAAGTCTGAGCCACAATGTCACATTAACAGAAAGACACACACAATGAAAGGGCACTTTGTATGAAGCAATTTAAGGAACATTTTTCCACACTTGAGCACCACAGGGAGTGAAACAGATACAGTTTGTGTGCCAAAATCACAGTTTTCTCATCAATTCATCCACAATTTCACATCAATTAGCCAACAAACTGAAATGTCCATAACAACAAAAGTTTTCAGCAATAAAAGCAGATGTTAAAAGCCTAGATGAACAATACACACGAATAATCAATGCAATTAGGAGCTAAAGTTTAATAAGTTGCCTCCACCAGCTTATAGGAGTCTGTCTTCCAAGTGTATGAAACATCTGCAGCATCAAACAGCAGCAGAATCCATATGAGTGTCTCCAAAGCAAGACAGTATTTGCACGTGTGGAACGACGAAACAATAGGCAAATTTGTTAAACACACATAATTATAAATGATATCCAACACAGAGACAGGATCAGCCTGGGTCAGGATTTAACAGCAAGTCACATTGTGTACTTTTTTTACACACCAGACAGAGTCACAGTTTATCATCTGAAGTTAAATGATTTGTTAAGTAGCGACCATCCTCAGTCCCAAGTTTCATCAAGTTGTTTTCACTGTGTATAAAACAGCAGTTATTATCATCACACATGGACTGAATTTTCACCGTTCAGGGAAATCATAAATAAACTACGCTACACTCTGACAAGTTTGCTCTCAGTTTAGATCCACTCCTTTGTTTATCAGCACATAGTACACAGTAATTATGCGTTACACATCCCTTGACGTTCTGTTGACTCTGAATGATAAATATTGTACCGTGGCGCTCTCCATCGCTGTGGTGGGTATTTCTGGATGAACCTACGCGTGAACAACAAAACACTTCAACAGACTGATGAGGCCAGCCGTGGTTTGTACCTAACATCTGAAAAAGGTTCATGTTCTCCCAAAACAATGAAAGACAACAACAATAATGAGAGCTGACAGCATCTCGCAGGTTGTTGGAGTCACAGTGTCATATTATCAATTCATGCATCTACTTCAGCCGCAACATGAATAATTAAAATTGTCAATGTGTGTAGTTTGAAGACTGAGAATAATTTAGAGAATAATTTATTTTCTCATGATTAACCAATTCAAGGACCTCAGCCAGCTCCAACTCCACTTGTTTAACTTTAAAATGTTGCGCCTTTGCATTGCTATCATATACAGTTTTAATACATAAATGATGTTTGATCTGGATTTAATGTCAAATTAACTGCTGTGGGACCTTCAAGGTTATGAAGAAACCAGCAAAAGGCAAAAACTAAGAAATAACGAGTATCATCTTTCATATCAAGGCAAACTATGCGTAGCAGATCGACCTAACAAGCTAATTTCTCACTTGTTTCTTTAATTATCCAGTCGTACAGGCCAAAATAATCAAACGGCAGATGAAAGAAAACACCTAATTAGCAAAGTTGAAAAACAAATAAGTGATAGAAAATCTGATTAGAGGTAGAAACACGCAGACAGTTAGTTTTAACATTCTGAACAGTTGGACAAAAATGTTATTATTTAATTAATAATATCAAAATCAATCTTTCCATCTGTGCCAAGAACTCTGGAACAGCGCCGTGTAGTTACATAAAGTCTGTTTCTTCTTTTCTGTTTCCAATTTCTGATCACCCTCAGGTCTCAATGTCTACAGCAACGGGAGCAGAACCAGATTGGCAGCAATAAAGCACATTTCTCTCAGCTTTTGGAAAATGTCAGTTTCATCCAGTTTCCCTGCTGACTTGCATCCACCATGAAAATAAGGCAATGTGATATCAAAGATTTACACAAATAACACAAAGCAGCTGCATGTTTGGAAAGGTGAACCTGCTGAACACAGACTTCACATTGGCAGACTTTGAAAGTAAAAGGAAAAGTCAGATAAAAAATAAATAAAAAATTGAAACTCTCTGAAACAGGCATACTGCCCCGAAATAAATGGACTCTAAATGGAAACACATGGGAGCATTTTAAAGGAAATATCTTAGTTTCAGACTGAATACTTACATTAAAGATTGCTGAGTTATTGAAAAATTGATACAGATGCAAGACATTTAATTTGTGTTGTTCTTGGTGCCTTTGTTGTTTTTTTGAACAAACATCGGCTTAAGTTTTAATCCAATAGTGAGTACTGTTGTTTTCTAACAGCATATATTGCCTTGATATATTGCACATCATTCTGGGCACTCTGGACAATGGCTTATCTTGTTATATTTGCAACAAAACCACTTTATCCTCTGTAGGGTCGTGGGGGGGTTGGAGCCTATTCTAATTGACTTAGGGCGAAGGCAGGGGACACCTTGGACAGGTCTTCATGGAATCAGCAAATTTTAAAAACAGCCTTTCTTATGTGTTTGCATGGTTATTTTTCAGTTCTTGAAGTTCAAAAAATGGTTGCAAGATGGATCGGTGGCTAGCATCGTTGCCTCACAGTAAGACGGTCCATGGCGTGGAGTTTGCATGTTCTCCCCGTGCAGCGTGGGTTCTCTCCAGGTTCTCCGGGTTCCTCCCATAAGGTCCAAAAACATGTTGAGGTTAAGTGGTGATTCTAAATTGTCCGTAGGTGTGAATGTGAGTGTGCTTGGTTGTCTGTCTCTAAGTGTAGCCCTGTGATAGACTGGTGACCTGTCCAGGCGAACCTGCCTTCACCCTAAGTCAGCTGAGATAGGCTCCAGCCCCCCACGACCCTGATGAGGACTAAGCAGTGTATAGATGATGGATGGATGGATGGAAGTTAAACATATGAAAAAAAAAAAAAAGATTGTAATGGTGTGGTAATTTCAAACAAAGCCTGCAATTTACTACATGGATTCAAAGTTTTGTGTCAATGCTCTTGTAAATTCATGCCATTGTCATTCTGTGATAGTCACTCTTTTGATGGTATCTCTCGTAATGATGCTACATTTTAATTTTATGACACAGTTAAGATTGAGCTGAACCTTGACTTTTTTTAAAATCTAGCACATATCAAATCAGAATATCTATCAAAAGAGTTGCAATTAGATATTTTCTTCTAATCATTAATGCTTAATTGTGGCACATGTAAACACTTTTAGTAGACAGTTTTTCAATTCCAGTTTTAGGAACGTCCATCCAGTGCTTGTCTAGCTCACTTCAAGCTGTGAAATATTTTCAACCTGCATGTTTCAGTTGTACAGCCCGGTCTCTGTTCAGTTCTACTTTGTTGACTGACTGCATGAAAGTTGCATTTAGAATTCGCTGCTATTTAGTGGACTGCCACAGCAGCCAAAATTATTTCTAAATCTATTACTAACAGCTTGTGAATTTTTTCTATCTGCTGCAGTGTTGTACGTATTATTTTTTAAACTTTGCAATTAGCAAAATATGTAAATTGCTGGGTTTTTTTGTATTGTGCAAACAACTGAATGTTAGATTTTGTGAAGAAGTATTCAACAACAAATGATCTGTGGTGTTTCGAGTCTCACCTGAAGTCAGGGATTCCTGCCGAGGTGCTGATTCCAGCTCCAGAGTGGACAACCAAGTACTGAGATTCTTTAATCAACTCAGCGAGAGTCTCCGCTTTTGCCTTCAGCTCCTCAGGACTATCAAACGTCTGTCAAGGTACAAAAATCATTGACTCTCAGAACTGGCTGACACTGACAGAATCAAATGATGATCAGTTACAGTTTGTTCTGACTCAGTAACTACATATAGGGTGTTATGGGAACTGCTAAGACCTGAGTATGAGTGTTTATTTCATACACAGCTTCAGTTAGCGAGTAGATATTGTATTAGTATATTACTGACAGCTATGAAATATGTATTAAATAAAAAGGAAACATTTTCTAAAGCATCTATATGCATGGGGAAATATGATCTTAGGGAGGAAGGAAAAGTATGTCAGATGATGATTTGGTATCAAGATTTAGGTTTGAGTGTATTGAATGTATGAGTACTGTAAATTACAAATAGCTTTTGATGAAGCGAAACAACAACTTCTGGACTAAAACTGTTCGGTTTTCCAAGAGCGCAGCTGCAACACAGTTAATCACAACCCTACAAAAGGTAAAAAGTAAAAAAAGCCACTTAAGCAGTTGACAGATTTGAATTACTAGTACACCTGTGTTAATTAGGATGCAGTATAATATTCTGAAGAAAACTCTGTCACTCTTCTACATTGCTCTCTGTTTTAGTCTAGTTTTGCATGTGTGTATCTTATATCTTAGCGGAAATATCAAACTAATGCATGTACACAGGCATGCATAAAGGAGAATAGCTGTTCTCCCAGGAAAATACTTTTGATAAACCTACTTGACTGCTCTCTTTTGCTAGCAAACACTTCAGTACTTGTTCTGAGGTATAACCTGAGAAGCAGACCCTCCTTCTGTAACTTAGTGTCTGATTTAAACAGCATAATTCACTGCTCGTCATGCTGTGTATAGTTGTGTTTGTGACAAATAAATGCCTTGAATCTTGAATAATGAAGCACAAATCCTCGGCTAACCTGCTAACTAGCTGTTTGGAAAGCTTAGCAGCGACCAGCTAATATTTACCTCCGGGAGTCCGCAAACACCTTTGTCTGCGTACGGCGAAAGTCCAGCAGCATAATTCACTGACATGGCGGTTACTAGTATCGTTTCTTTATTTCTTTTTCGATTAAAAATGCTCCTTTATTGTCTGGCGCTGTTAATTTTCTCAGGCGAGTTTTAACTGCATTGTTTAGATGACGTCATCACCGAGCGACAGCATTTGTTGCATTTACTGACTGTGGGAGGATTAGCTCTTGTTGCATTCGCGTTCAGCTATATAAATACCGTTTCACATAAATATGTCATCCAACAGAAATGAGTACAACCTCTTGAAATATTCCTTCAGTATCAACTGATTCAGAACTTTATTACCTCTCAGTAACCCAATTACTTCTAAATTTCCTCTTATAAACGATCAAAAACAAATATTTTCGAAATACTATTTGAAAATACTGGCCCTAAAGTAGAAATTCAATGAAACAAAATTAATACATTTGCGATCACTGAGACAAGAACAAAAGGGAGTACATTTGATTTCCAATAAATCAAATTCTATGACAATTCTTAGAAAATGACCACTGAACACCAGAAGTTTGGACCGATGGGCTGTGTTTCTTTGCATGTCTGCGTCATCGCTCCAAACGTCCCAGTGATAGTAAAAGATACAGGAAGATCATCGACCAACTAAAAATCTATCAAACACAGTTGTAGCAGTAATCATTAGGTTCGGAATGAGTCATAGTGCCACTAATCAAAGCCAGATTTCATAAAGTTTTCTGGCTTTCATTTAGGTCATCCTGTGAAGTCACAGCATGGCTTGTATGGTCTTGCTCTGAAAAAACTGATAACCGCTTCAGACTCAGCGCAGGGGTTATCAATACAAATCTGAGTTCCTGTCACAGCCCAGTCAGTGTGGAGGACACTGGATAACATCAACCTCCATAGACAGCATTTAAGAAAGCCTTTACTTGCGTTTTTCACAAAATTCTGATATTAAGTTTTGCTATGAAAGAAAGAAGCCTGATGAATATTGTGAATATATTCTTTAGTCAGATGAGACTAAGTTCAGTTTGTTTGGTTCAGATGGAGTCGAGCATGTTTGGCATGAACCTGGCCAGGACCACCACAGTGAATGTATGGACCCAACATTGAAGCACGGAGGTGGCAGTGTGATGACATGGGGCTGCATGAGAGAAAAAACAATGTTTGGGAGATGACGCTTATAGATGGCACCATAAATGCCTGTGGATATACCAAAATCCTGGCTGACAAGATGACTCCCAGTGTGCAGAGCCATGAAGAATGTTATGATAACGATCCAAAATTCACAAAAGTTTCTACAGAAGAAAAACATCCCAAGTATGTTGTCTGACTTGAATTTATTAGAACACCTTTGTGGGTTTTTTTTTTTTTTAAAGAAAGGTAGAGCAACACAACCTCTTCAGCCAAGAACAGCTGAAAAAAAAATGCCACTGAAGAATGGCAGAATATTTCTTCATAAGTCTGATATCCTCCATGCTGAAGATTGACTCCGTCATCAAAAATAAGGGTTTACATATAAAGTGATGCTGATTTTAC